CAACAGGCCTGCTTCCAGGCAAAGGTCCGCCGAGCGATCGACCATTTGAACCCCCTCTCATCTCTTATGCCCGTCTCTATGCCCGTACCGGGAAGAGATCTGGTTCCAACGAGCCGACAACCCTTTTTCCACGATCTCCTGCCTTTTTGGCCTTCCTTGATCCCAGCTCCTGCTCTCTCGTTTACGTCACGCAGCGAAGATCCGGTGCGAGTCGACGATATATATCACCCCATACTGCCCCTCTTTCACTGTCGGTGAGTTTTCGAGTTCTTTATTTCATATATTTGGTGGGTGTTCGCTCGACGCCCTTCCTAATCCTCACTTTAACCTCGTGGCGATGCTATCGCGTCCATATCGATGTTCCCATCAACCCGGACGGGCCCTCCACTCTTCGGTGCTAAGGATTGGCGGCGGAGCGAACCACCTCATACAAGTCGGGGCTATCCTGATACAAAAAATGGAAAAATGAGAAAAGTAATAACAAAAAAGACCGAATCCTCCCGGCTAATGCCTATCAAATCCAACTCCCGAGTCATAAATGTGTGCCCGACTCCGAGATATGCCACCTTATACTAATGGGTAAACAAAAGCAATGATTATTCCTCCATGCGACCAAATACACCATCATCGTCCTCATCGCTCCGAGCACGGGATCGCAGATCAAATTCGTCATCATCCATGATTGAGTCAGCCTTGTCATCCATCTTCACATCCTGGCTTCCCCGTCGGAACTCTCCACGGGTGAAACTTTCTGGCTGTCGGCTTGGGAAGCTATTGATAAAGCCCGCGCTGCTGAACGAAGTAGCCTGATCAAGGTACTGCATTGGGACAGGAGGCACGGGAGGGGCGTCTGCGGGTAGTGTCACTGTGCCCCGAGAGCCATTGTTGCTCCCAAAACTGCAGCTCAGCAATTCCACAGCGGCAGCAAGATCCCGATCGTCTTGGTTAGTGGTATTGATACCTGACGATGTTGGTCGGTCGGTGCTGAGCTGGCGAGAGTGACCGAACCCGTGTCCATGTGGTACGCTCCCTGATGTGAGGTGAGCGGAGAGGGGAGCTGATTGGTAGCTCCTCGAGAGCCCAGCAATGCTGCTGTGACGCTTACTACGATACGATGGCGTGGTAAAGTTAAGACCTTCGGACATGGGTGGCGGAGTAGTGTCCGCAGAGCTTTGGCGATCCACCAGTTCAGAGTACCCAGACGCAGCAGGGGACGATGACTCTCGGTCGCTGGGGAAATCTTTAGCTGAGTGAGGAGGTGTGGGTGATCTTTCCTGCTCAGTGTCATTCATGGCCACCAAGACCGAAGCGGCCTCAAGCAGCTGAACTTGCTGATGCTTGGATATGAGCAGCTTAGAGGTATACGACCATTCAGGAGTATGCTCCCACCTAGCCAGAGAAGTCAACAAATGTCACATTGTCTTCATCCCACTCTGGGCAAATGCTGGACATGCACAATACGAAGTGGGGATGGGACCGCACAGGGAGATGCCAAAAGGGAGACTAACAAGTGCTTCGTCAGGCAGCTGCTGTGCTTGTACCCCTTACCACACTTCTCGCATCGAAGCTCAGCCCGGTTGCTCTTCTTGCCGTCCTTGGTCAGGGGCTGACCGTCACTAGCACGTCGGATCCGGGACTTCTGAGGGTTCGATCCATCCTCGTCGGCCGAGCTGTCGTTGGTATCATCAATGGCACTACCAGTCATATCACGCTTCACATCGACCATGCCCTTGTTTGGGAGACTGGCCGGCGGAGACGGAAGGCTGTTCTGCCCGGAGACAATGCGTGCGCCCTTGGACATTGTGTTTCGTCGAGACGAGGGGTTCGCAATCGGCACGGCGGCGGAAACATTGGCATCTCGAAGGGCAGCCGTGAGGGTGGCAATGTTGGCACTAGGGTTCGTAACCGACTTGCGGCGAGTCACACGGTGATTGGGGTTGAGGGAGCTTGTTAAGAGGGAGTGGGAATTGTTGCGGGCATGGGTCTGGCGCGCGGGAGGGCCATTCGACGGAGGGCTCGAAACCGAGGGTCGATGCGACAATGGCCTCACGGAAGGCTGCATTTCCTGTCCATTGGGAAAGAAAGACAGTCAGCACAGTGCTCGCTCACTCGCATCTGGAACAGCTGGAACCAGCTCTTGGAGGAGCCTGGGACACGCCGGGGCTAATGGCATTACAATCTGCCCAAGCCAGGCGTCTCAGGCTCCTCCTCTCTCCTCAGTCAACGAATGATGTAGAGACAGGTCATACCCGAGAAGATGCCATTGCGGTTGAGGGAGGATGTGCTCGAGGACAGACACCTGTCCGGACCGTAGCGTTCTCGTAGATTCAGCGGCGTAGGGGGGCTTTGAAGCACGGAGCCAGGCAAGCAGGTTAGGGACAGGTGAACAGCTAGGCGTATACAGTCAAAGAAGAATTTCTTGTCGAGCAAAATAATAGAGAAGGAGAAATAATAATTTTGGTGGAGGAGGAGGAGGAGGAGCGTTCGGAGCCACTGGAAGGGAGTGTGTGTGTGTGGCATTGCGGGGGGAGGGGGGCGTACGTATACACTGATGGGGAGACTTACAGCGGTGGTAGGCAGTAGCAATGGAGCCTGGGGAGGAGGTGACTTAGCGCAGAGGGGTGAACCAACACTGAGTAGCAGGTACCTTGCCTGGACTGGGGCCAGTGGGCCCCCCCTTCCCAAGTCTCGAGATACCTCTGTCTGGAGGTGTGGCCCAGGTGAGCGCGCCTGTATATCGCCTGGCTCGTCTCCTCCAACACGCGGTCACCTGGGAGAGTCTTGGTAGGTGAGGTGTCTTCACCTACCCACTCCCCTCACTGACTAATCCCAGGCTGATGCGTCTCGCCTGCGCGTGCGCCTCAGCGAGCCAGGCGACTTGTTCTTAGCCCCAGCGTCTGTAGCCACAGTCGTCGGCGATGGGGTGTCTGTCCTGAGTGGCTGTGTGGAGTTGAGCCCGTGTGGGTGGTGGATTCGAGATGAGCCCATTAGAGGTGTTCATTCCTCTGTAAGGTGCCTCTCGCAACGGAGTATTACAGCCATGTGTCCTAGAATAGCCACAGGGCAGAACCAGGACGACGGCAATTCCGGCCGCCACGTCTAGACTGCCAGGGACAGAGATTCTAGGCGTCTCTTCCCCTTTGTTTCATGCCATCCCGTCCTGTCGCCGTCGAATTGGCCAGACCTGGGGGAGCCATGGCGCTCACCTGGCCATGAATACAGAGGTACTCTTTGGGCCAAAGAAACCACTTTACTGAGGTGGAGAGGGTGTGGAATCATTAGCAGGTCGGGTGATCCTGGCTGATCATCAGACTGAAGATGGGTAAAGTGGACGCGGAGGCCTGCGGTATCCGGTACCTCTTTGGGCCCTCTCTCTCCCTCCCCCCTTCAATCTGCGAGTACAGGCGCCTCTGAGGGACAAAGTACCTGACCTCCCTCCCAGTGGGCTTCAGCGCAGCCACTGAACAGCAGGGGGAACCGGGGGGGCGTGGCCCCAAAAGTTTACTGAGACTCTGGCCTGACCTCACCTGGGGCTGGCCTGACCTGACAATGACGGGAATGGACGTACCCAGAGTGCGCTGTTCCCTAATGGGGGCTGTTGGGGCTGAGTAAAACCGCTAATTTACCTGTCCTTCCAAGGCAGCGTGTTGGGCCCTGTGCCCATTAATGATCTGAGTGATGAGCGCCGTCTGCCGGGCCGTGGGTGACGTTATTTTGCTTTTTTATGGGCTGTTTAGGGACGGCATCTGTCAGTCTTGGAGAAATTGTTGGGTGATTCAATGCTGTGTTTGCCTGTAAGTGGTCTCACGATGGCAGCAGGAGCCCAGCAATTGTATGCAGTCGTAGCGTGCAGTGATGGTGGTGACAGGTGGTAGGTGGTAGGCCAGCACAGGAACACATCGCGATGCAGCGTGTTATTTGTCTTGCGAGCTATAATGTCACAGATTCTTTCTCCCTGATCGCTGTATGCCAGACACCACTATCCGACCCGAGGATTTCGTCCTACCCTACCAATTGGTTGTCCGAAGGTACACATCATCAACCGAAGCTTCCAGAATTAGACAGCTCATATGCCCAGAGTTGAACCACAGTGGTACTTCGGTCGGGCACGAGGCCCTCATCTTTCCGTGTTTTAGGGCTACGTTAGCTCGAGCAAGGTTAGTGAGAGCCCATGGAGAAGGGCATTGCGGAAAAAAAAATATCGGTGATGGTTTGATGGGTGAACAAAATTCCTCCACCCAAAAGGCTCATCGAGATTCGCCTACATCGAGAAGAAACACTGCTGATCGATCACAAGGATCCGGTACGTCTCCTTTCTGGCCCTAACCTTGCAATCAACTAACCCCTGCCCACTTCTCCCAGCGGGGGAAGCAGCCCAAGCCAAACCAGGGCGAAATGGGGCCAAGTAAATAGCCTGCCACGGGGGCCATCCATATCTGATGCTCCTGCTGCACGCATGCCCCAAAGGAGTAGTAGTCGGCCGCTGGAATAGCCATTACTAGCAGTAGGCAGCTCTGAGTGCTGGGCCGCCCGCTTCGTCTCATCTCCAAGCAAGAGGGCTAGCTCGAGACGCCCGGCGGGCGAATGAGACGCCCGTGTTGGACCTGGTGGTGAAATTGAGACGCCCTGCTGCTCTCTGCCCCTTCCTAGGGTACCTAATTAATTATTGCCGGACCCAGAGACGACGCAGCCGCCAAACTGCCCGCCGAAGCGCCTATCTTCGGGCAGGCCAAGATTACGGCCGACCTGATCCATCCCCCCGGAATCTTGTTCCTGAGCGATCTCCCTTCACATCATCGATGGCTGGGAAACAGGGCAACCAATCGCCCGCCTCTGTTGGGCCGGTTGCCCTAAACCCCAACCCTAACGCGAAACCCTCACTCAACCTTTTAGCAACAGCCGCGTAACAAACCTGGAAGCCCTAAGCCCTCATGGCCCGTTTGGTGATATCGTAGCCGGATTACCAGCCGTGCTTACTACCCGCTGCGTTGTTATGAGCAATGTATGATGACATGTTCCTTCAGAATGACAGAATTCCAAGGATGGCGTCCGAGATCCAAGAGGTCTCCACAACCTCCGACTTCCGCGTCTGCCATGTACATAGCATGTGCTGCGGCCAGGTTATAGTAAATATGACTTGTAGACGCCTGTTTCTATTATTACGATGCGTATGAGTATTCCAAGCCCAGTGGGCCAGTTCCAAGCCACTCCGCTGTCTGCGTCATCTAGGTGATCCAGACACGCTGGAATGAGATCCAATGCCCATATTGTTCACACAAATTTCAAGCCGCGTTGGTCAAAAGCTGGAAGCATACACCCCCCAAAATGTATCTCGTCTGAAATCCTCATGCAAGCCAAAACAGGAGCGCCGCATCGGGAGAACGAGAGACAGGGCTGACTGAGAAGGGGGGGCGTTAACCCGCAACTCCCATTCGCCGCCCAGTAAATTGAGTTGGCAAATTTTCTTCCCCAACCCTTCCCGATATTGTCTTTTATTATCTAGGTTTCGACCATTCCGTGAAGGACGGAAACGTTGCCATGATCTTCACCAAGCGCCGGTTGGGTCGCCAAGGTGTGGGCAGGGGGGAGAGAAGCGGCAACAAGCCAATCAGAGTGCCGGACAACGTGTTCCAGCCGGTGATGGTGTGGGCGTATCACCCTACTTATTTCTGTGATCCCGAGGACTTTTTTTACCATCCACGCAAATCGGGGAATAGCTGAAGGTCTTAATGAAAGGGGGAGTGAAGAAAAAAATTTCAAAGCCACGATCACGATCTAGTCTCATATCATATGATATCTGTGCGCTTACATACCTGGCTTCCCGAGACCGTTCGTCGTTGTCCAGGTCACCGGAAAGTCAAGACAGTCATCAATGCAAGGCACGTTCCCCAAATACATGTAATAAAGTACAGTAGATGTCGGACGGCGCTGGCTCCCTCGCTAACAAGGCCTTAGGGATTGGCCGCTGCGAGGCACTAACATTCTGTCAGATGAAAGGCTAAGTAGATGTACACGAATGCAAATGGAACGACAGTCAAAGGGGCCTGTTATGCAAGGCCAGTCCTCCCTTGTATCGTCAGCAGGAAAATTTTCACGATCCATTGACTTGGTTTGTCTGTTCGTCAATTGTTTAGGAAATAAAAAATTTTTAACCCAGGCAGCTCGTGTTGCAATGGCCACTTCGATTGGTCGCGCAGGTAGCCATGTTGGATGAGGGCCCAAATTGCCACCGTGAGCTTATAGGCCAGGATTTCCGAGCGATGGACCGACGAGAGGGTTGCATACGGCCGGTACTAGACTACACACGAACAGATGGAGGGAGGGCACGGCGATTCAATTGCGCGTTTGGAACTGGAGTTAGTGCCACACAACATTATTGAAATGTGTTCGAGACTGTGAAAGTGGCCAGGCGGAGGGCCAGGGCACCGAGTCATTGACGATGTGTCCAAACTTACCGACCCAGGGAACGGTTATACACGACGGAAGGGCCCGAGCGTGCCTGAATATCACGGCCGTGTTCAAGAGATCCCGCGGCGGTCGCAGCAGGCTTCGCTGCCTTCGGCTGTTCTCCGTACGTGGCATAGAACGCAGTTGCTGGCCGCCGATCACTCCTGGTTTGCCAGTCCGGCTAGACCACATCCAATTGGCCCTCACGGCCTGGGGTCGAGGGCAATCGTCGGCTACGGGATGTACTATGTACTAGTACAGGCAGATCCTGGGGAAACGACTTCCAGGCTTCGACCGATTCAGCTACACATCCGCGAAATTATTCTCCCCGCTCGGCGTGCAATATCAACATTGTCCCTCATCTTCCATTCGAGTTATTTGTGTCTAGCATTAAGAGTCGTAGCCTGGAATCTTATGGTTTTTTATTAGATGAAACGTGACGCTGTTGTCAGTACGGATGCAAAGCCCCGGTGTCCACCTGTTGAAACGAGAACTGGGATGTAATAAATCTCCCAGCGGGACTGAACGGCCACATCGCAGTGCCCACTCAATTTGGTAACACTGGGGCAGAGAGCTAAACGCAACATACGTCAAAGCAAATGCAAATGCCATAACAAGCGAAAGAGGGGCAAAGAAGGATGCAATCGACGATGATGTGTGGATTCTCACTAAACACGCTGTTGCAGGGCTCTATGCGCATGAACAAGACTTGCCGCTTCATCTTCAATCTCATAAAGTTTCCCACTACACAATCAGAATCATAATAAGTACCAGAGCCCATATACGCCAGTAATATATGGTTAGCAGTTCGCTATTGTTCATAACTATTGTGCCTTAGTCCAGGGCATGCAGCAAATAGTCAATCGATCCCATGTCATGCACAATTCCATTCTAAGCAGGTGCTGCGTTTACCCGAGATCCATTCCACGCTGATGGAGTATTACTACATAGTATGGCAGATAACAGAGTATAATATTACCTACTCATTCCTCATTGTCCAGGTTGAGCAAGTGGTAATAAATGAACGTATTACGTCCTGCCTCGGCCGGATGATGGCCCCCGAAATCCATTGTGGCTTGCTCAGCTGAGACCTTACCCACGGCGTTGCCTCGCTGCGATGAGACGCTGGCTCGCCAGACTGCGACTTGGAGCGCCACCCTCGCAGGGCGGATGCCACAATGCAGCCCGTGTGAAGCAAATGGCCCTTGATGGCTTAGGTAGGATTGATACTTGCATGCCTGCCTGCTTTGCTGCTGGCGCCCAAGTACCCAGGCACCAGGGCAGTGGATGGATGCATAAGCCGCAGTGCTAACGTAGGTACCACAGATAACATGTGCTGACCAACATGACCAGGACATCAGTCAAGAAGATGGACCTCTTCCATTTCTCTAACATCCTAAAGTACCAATTCCTCTCCAAACATCAGCATACTTAGTTACTGACCTGGCAAAAGAGGGGGCTTCAAACCTCCATTGCCAATGGACATGCTACGCTCCGTTTCGCGATGTTCGCGTCACAGCATCATTCGTATCTTGAAAGTGGAAGCACCACTTTTATTTCTGGGTATGTAAGAAAGGTATCTTATTCCTCCAGTGTTGGCCCATCGAGCAGGTCCCACTTACTCCGACTGAACAACACGCTCGTACACGCCCCTCCCCCTGGTCGCTGCCTCTCCCCCTCCTCAGCCGGCTCTGGCAAGGTACATGCTTAGCGAGTCTGTTCTGCAAGACATCCCCAAGGTTGGTAAGGTTAGAGCACTTATCAGGTTACCTACCGTCTAATTACAGCGCTGTCTCCTTTCTTCCATGGGCTTCTACGGGCAGATAGTGCAATTGCCCGGCGCCAGTTTGTTCGGTGAGCACACCTTGCCCTCGACACCGCTTCATCCCATGAAGAGGAACCTACGTAGCCAGGTTAGGCGGCAGGGAAACGGGAGAGGGAGCCAGAGCGCGCTTCTGGGGCCATTCTGCTCCAGCATCAACCCATTTCGCCCATGGCCTTAGCATGTAGTCAATCGCCCGCCAAGCCTGTCGTTCCCCCTCATTATTTTTGGGGCACGAACAACCCACACCGCGAGAGACCTCCAGCCGGCCTTCACAAAAGGGAAATGGAAAAAGGCGATCTGCACAAGAAAACCCGGGGAGGGGATCCAGAAGGTGGTCTTGTGAGGCACGTCCACTCCCCCAAGTTTCTTTGATACGCAGCATTGGCGATAATACGCAAGTGACCTGAGAACACCCGCGTGCGCCGCGGGCACGACCGAACACGGTTCAGTAATCTTGCCAGGTACCTTACCTTACCTGCGTATTGGCGGCATCATGTGGCCAAGCGTCGGATTGCGATTGTTGGAGGTAGGCAGGTACCTTGACCGGGGATGGAAGTGTGACCCAGGCGCCGCCTCCACTCTACAAGGGGGTGTGCGCGTGGGCATAGGTAGCGGCTGGGGGGCTGAAGTAGGCAGTACCTGGGTACTTATGATGGGAACTGCAGAGGCGCTGGCGCGGATGCAATAAATAAATCCGTCCGTCCTTGTCAAACACACCCGGAGGGCAGCCTGTGAGCCATTGCGCCGATGTCGGACAATTTTTCTGAGCTGGCTATGACTGTGTAGGCACCTTTTGGGTGAGAGAGCACTAAAACAGCCTAGCTGGCCTCCTATTTCATTAGGCTGTGATTATTAGGGACTGGTATCGAGCTAAATTCAGCTCTTTGAGTGTCACAGCATGAACTCGTGGATCTGATAAGTCGGTGCCAGGGTCGATAATTCTCGCGTGATTTCCTCATAATTTGTTGATATTGAAACATATTTGATTGTGTGGGATGGGTCTTTGACAAGTCATCGAGACGGTCAGGGCGGGCTTGTTTAGCAATCATCCAATGTCATTGTTCACTGCCCGGTCCATCGTTTTAGCTCCTTGTTCCCCTACATTGGTGTATGCACTTACATATGCAGTATTTGCTGGGTGAATGGGGACGCTTTGCGGTGTACCTTGACGGTATGCCGTCTAATGCTGGACCCCCCATGCAGGGAGTGAATGCAGGTATCAATTCCATTGTGTAAACAGCAGGTGTTATCTCGTTTGATCGTGGCTCTCCCCGCATTCTGGAAATCATCCGACGTGCCTAGGGTAGGCTAGAACGAGGGATTCCGAACATGAAGCTTGCGATATCGCGATTCAGGAAACGGCAAGCCAGCAGCCATCCGCAGCCAATGTGTCATCAGATGCTTACTGTATTCATGCCATTAATGGATAGCGGCATGAATGGATGTTTCCCCGGAGCAGCTATCGTCGGAGTACGAAAAATCTTGTCCCTGGCTGAAACCGATATGAAATTGGTCCGTCCAAATAATGCGGCTTCTCCCGGGAGATCAGCGATCGAACCCTGCATACTCGCCGGGAGTTCAACGGCCCAAACATCACTTCCCAGTTTTTGGTCTTTTGCGGTGACATATACGGTGAGGCCCTGCTGGAGATGCAACGACTAGCAGCCCAAGTCGATTGTAGTAGCGGTCGTCTGCTAGCAATCAATAAACAGCATTGAACACATATAGAATGCAACACCATTCCAATACGTACTGCGCTCCCAGTCCTCTCAAATCTCCCATTAGATCAATGCTATATTCCGACCATTCCACAACGGTACTCAGGTTTCGAGTTCGCAGACCAGGGTTCCCAGAGCCAGCAATCTATGCCAAACCATGATGAACCAGCTACGGCCCTTAGGATAAGAAGCTTCCGCGGTGGCCTCGCTAAATTACAGAAACGCCGGACTTGATAGTGGGAGAATAAGTGAGACTATACTCGAATATAGTGAAGTATATAAAGTATGCCTGGACAATAAGGTTTATAACTGATGTTGTTATCGGCCACAATATCAACCAACGTTATTCGATGCGATTGCAGTAGCATTTGACGAACCGAGAGGGTTGTACGAAGTCATAGGGCGACCTACCAACTTTCAGCGCTTCAATTCTGGATAATCCCTCAAATTAGGTCACTCTAGATATGCCTCCCATACCTGAAGAGCAATTGATTCAGCATTTCGAAATGCTTCTATCCCAACAAACCTTGAGCCGCCCTTGCATGCTAGTCCTCGCACGCTAGATCGATGAGGTAACCAGAAGCGTATTCCTTACAAAAAGGAAAAGGACTATCAACTGATGGAATCTTAAGAAGCCGCCGGGAAGAAGGACGATCTAGCCAGTGTTAGCTGATAGCCAAGCAGGTCCCCGTAGCCCGCTAATCGCGCCCATCCCTTGCTTGTTATCTATCGCATGACGGAAAAAGGAAAGAGTCTCGTGCGGTCCTGAGACAGCTGATCGTCAAGCGCATTGCACCACCCCCTTCTTTGCTTTTTGCAAATCAATCGGGTACCTTTCTGCCTCCCGTCAACTTTAATTTTCTGTCCCGTTCCTATCGGACCTGTATAGAATTTTTTTTTCTTTCTTTCCATTCGTCGTCTGGCTCTATAGATCATCATGCCGCAAAATCAGGACGTCTACGTCAGAGTTGGCCGAGGCGGCGCAGGCAACTTCCATTCCTCCAAGCCAAACCCCAGCAAGGATGCAAACAAAGTACGTTCCCCTTGTCTGTACTCACCACCGAAGTTCGGAGGAGGACGTCTAATCCTCGGGTCTATCTGACCACGAACTTACCCTTTTGATGCTGGGAACTGGGATCGATCTCTAATAACCTGCAACAGGACCTCGAGGCAGCCAAACCGCAGCAGATCACCCCGCCGAGCCCGCCCCCTCCCTCGTCCCTCGCCCGCGCAGGCCGCGGCGGCGCAGGCAACTACGCCGACAGCAGCGCCTCTTTCAAGAAGGAGCAGGAGCTGGCCGGGGAGACCGTGAATGCCGTTGCGGCCAGCGCGGCGGCGCACCCTCGCGGGGCCCTCCTGGGCGGTCGCGGCGGGGCTGGGAACTGGAAGACGGACGAGTCGACGGCGCGGAAGCTGGACGAGGAGCAGCGCATCGGCCTGGAGATGGAGAGGAAGGCCATCGAGGCGGTCAACGTGGAGCTCAAGATGCCCGAGAAGGCGCACCACGCACCGCTCACCACGAAATGAGAGTGACGAGGAAAAGTTTGCTGTTGGTTGGCTGGGGTGTGTGTCTCTCTTTTTTTGCTCGTGATGCGGATCTGGTTCCGACGGCAGGCTCCGTCTGTCCTTGCGTTGGTCGCATCTGTGTAACTTCCTTTTTGTTCACTATATTTGATACCCAAGATTCTAGACTTGAAAGACAAAACGCTCACCACCAGATAGACCCCATGCTGTGATATAATGCTTCCCTCTCGTTCGACTCTAAACCCGCTACCCAACCGTCTATATCTACACGCCATAAACCATGCCCATATCGTTGCCCATTCGTACTACATCTGCCTTCTCAAACATCTCCCACGCGGCACTCGAAAGCTCATCCTGTGCTCTCACGCCCGGGGACTCAAAGAAATCGTATTCCGGCTCACAGACGGTTCCCGGCTCCGGGAGCGTCCCGTTCTGGAAGTATGCGCGGAGATACTTGGTCGTGCAGGTCGAGGGAGCGGAGGACGAGCAATGCTGGTGTAAGGGAAATCGGTATGTTAGCCAATGCATCAACTTCGAGGCAACACCACGAAGCCCGCTCTGGTACAACTTACTCCGTATGCATTTTGGGTGAGCACGACCGACCCAGGGAAGTGAGCAGAGTTGTTGTAGGCGGACTCTAGGGGTGTGATACTGTCGTACACGTTGTTGACAAATAGGATGGGATGGCTCGTCTTGGTCTTCGTGTCCTCTGGTTTAGTAAGAAAAATAAATGTTAGCATTATTGCCGAGAACGGCGGTTGGAGCATTGGCTATAATCGTACCGTCAGGAGCAAAGTGCCATTTGGGCCGTATCGTCCTGCCGACGCAGGACATCTTGAAATACATGTTGGAGGCGCCAGCCCACTTGCTCACCCGGTGCAGCTTCTCCAGGAACTCGATGAACTGCTCAGGGGAGTCCTCCTCTGGCTTCGCATCGGAGCATGTAATAGCCGGGAAGGCATCCATCTCCATCGACGTCTCCTGGGGCTCGGTCGCGGGGATATCCGCGATGGCGCACGCCTGTCCTACCAGCTTTCTTCTGTACCCGACCGAGGCATCGTAGAACGCCGCAGCGTCGCCGCTTTCAATGGTCGAATACAGCTGTGCGAGGAGCTGGGCACGCTTTAGAGGAGAGTATAGGATCGTACGGGTGATGACCTGGAGGATCGAGTAAGTGATAACTTGAGGCATCTCAGGCCCTGACTCCCTCACCTCAGCAGGAATGATGAGAGGGTTCTTTTTTAACTTGGAAAGAACAGCATCGCGGCGTTCTCCCACTGCTTCAGGGCTCTCTGCCCATAGCGAGCATACCTCGGCGCCAGCACCGTGACAGGCTTTGTCGAAGGCGAGTAGAATCGAGTCAGCATCTTGAAAGAACTGGGCCGAATCCCCCTGGAACCAGTTGGTGTAATCCACGTTTCCTACAATGTCGGAATCAGTTGAACGGCCCATGCCTGCCTCTATTGAATACAAGCAACGCCTTACCATCGCTCACCATCCTCTCGATCTGGTCTGGGTACATGGACGCAAACACTCCGCCAAGGACGGAGCCATAGCTCATGCCCCAGTACCTGAGCTTCTCGTGCCCACTCCTATTCATGATCTCGAGCATATCCCGAGCATGATAGACAGTGCTGAGATGCTCAAAGATGCCCGTCTCGTTGGCCCCGCTCTCGCAAGCTCCCGAGAAGGCCATTGAATGTGCATAAGCATCGTAAACGAGCCCTGGTTTCTCGTCAACAACGCCTGCATCTTGAACATTCCATATCAATCTCTTCTGGCTGTTTTTCCAACAGTCTACTCTTGGTGTCGAGACACCGACTGAAATCCGGAACAGGGAGTTTCGATTAGCAACGTCCCTGACTGTGGTCTGGTTGTAGGAAGTACTCACCTCCTCGTGGATCCCAGCTGATGATATCCTAAATGCGAAGACTTAGAGTTGTTGATGAAACTGCTCGGATTTGGAACTTACATGGTTATCCCCGGCAACCATTTGAATTGCTTGACTAGTCCGAAGAACGGCTTCGATGCCTGAACCTCCAGGACCCTAGCATATGTACCATTCTAGGTCAGCTCCAATGGGAGAAGCAGAGGGGAGAAAGACCTCTTGTAGATGGTATAAGCGCAACCTACCCCGGGATTTATAAAGAGCGGGGGAACAGGGTTATCCTTCGTTTTGGCAGCCAGCTTGATAACACCCAGCACAACTCGTTTCGTGTCCATTGGGTTCTGCCAGTCCATCGGTACCTACATTGCCAGTTAGAACTGAAACAATACACGGAGTCATAAAGCAATCACATCTAAACGGGCACATTCAAATTGGCCATTGTAGCAACGTTCCCAATCGAGGCTGTTCTTTGGTATCACCTATATACCTCAAGATCAGTGACTAGAAGAGGAGAGAAAACGTTTCTACAAAGTCTAGGGGGTAAGAGTTGAGTTACATCACGCCAGTTCCACTCCTTTGGAGTCTTATCCCCAAAATCATGGTAGTCTGCATTGTCGAGGCTTGGTCCAGCCAGTGGTTGTAACAAGCGGGCCGTATATAATAGCCCAATCACTGTTAGAAGCGACAAGACGAACCGTTTTATATGGGATCTGGGTGGAAAAGGCCGAACTTCACTGATATGCCGGCCCTTCTCGTCCATCGCGATATAGGATAGTCGCTCACACGACCACCAGTGGGCTTGGTTGACCAGACACCTAAGAGGGGAAAGCACACAAGACCGATGATAGAGACTTCAAATCAGTTAAGACAATGAGCCATTACATGTACGAGGCCGAATAGTCAAAGGAACGAAACAGATAAGGGAAGAAGCACACGACAGAGAAAGCCAAGAAGGAGCCGAGGACAGCTGGATCATGCAGTCCCCATCCCCTCCAACCAGACAAGCTAGGAATCACGCGAACACAGCAAAAGGGACCCTGGACCGGCTCCATGACCACCAAAATCAAATAGGCGACCCCTGAATGGGCGCCTTGCATGCACCACCCTCCTCACTGGCAGAAAGTCCCAAGTGCAACGAGTCTGAGTGAGTGAGAGACATTTGGCAAGTCAGGTCCGGGGCTCCGATAAGCCGGGGAGAGGGCTCGAGGGCGGCAGTAGCACGTTTTGGGCTTAGCGGCAGGCTTCTAGGGGCGCTGGGTTGACCACGAGATAAGCGTCCGGCCGCCTGCAGCAGCTAGTCCCCCACCTGTGGCCGAGTCAGGTCTGGCGGGTGATGCGCTGTCTGAATGATCGGCAGTTATACCTTGGTAGGTATGTATGCCTAGGTAGGTAGGTATCCATCATGGCCGATAGGGAGGAAAGGAGGGAAACCAAGTGAAGAAGGTCGTTAGCATTAATAAAAAAAGAATCAGGTATCTATCCTCCAAAAACAGCCGCTTCTGCCCGCCAGGGATCCAACATGCGCCGTATTTGAAGCAATGACATGCCGACCATGTAATTACCACCGGCTTGAAAAAAAAGAAAACATCACTCGCTTGATCCACAGCAAATAGGACCCTCCCAACTGCCAGGACAACCATCCCGGTGCCTGATCAATATCCGAGTTCATAGGATATCGATAGCCACCTCCTCCGTGGAACATTCCGTCGATCCTCAGAGTCGTGTCCCGTGCCCATAATGCCACCTCCAACCTTATTGAAAACCACGGCAATGACCAGCCTAAATATCTTGGTCTCGGCGAGAAACCTGAACAAGGGCATCGAGGACGTCGTCAATGTCGCGGTCCTCGAGGTCTCGCCCCATCAGAGCGATGAAATCCTTGAAGCCGAACTTCATGTTGTCCATCAGCTTCTCATCGCCCCTGCGACGGCTGCGGGTCTCCAGATCCCGTCGCTGGATGAGGCTTTCGTAGAGCATGTCGACGTCGCGGGCCGCGGGGACGCTGTCGCGGGCAACTTCGGCCCTCGCTTCGAGTTCGCGTAGATTGGTCGGGGCCGCGAGAGCCCGTCCGGCCACCGTCAGAACCACCAGGGCTGCGGAGAGGGAGAGATGTTGGAAAGCGACCATTTTGAATGAATAGATGTCGATTAGATAAATGCTGGCCGGCAGCGTATTGGTGATGAAGCGAAATGTAAGAACAAAAGAAAAAAACGGTAAGGAAACAGAGACCAGCTCTCAAAGTTGTGATGCTACTTCTTCAGTGTTGAGGCGCAAGAAAAGGCCAAGACAAGATTCTTTAAGCTGGGCGGGAAGATCGCCCATATAAGGCCATTTGGGCCATGGTCACCACTATCCAGGTTGTCGGGGTTGGACATGGGTTCGCATTGCACTTATGTGTGGGACTCCGGATTTCGTAGGAGTCGTGGCATGGGTTTACTGCTTTTGGGCATGGATCAAGCTTCATCTGACTGACTGCTTATAATTTTAGAAAGGTACTCCTAACTGACGATGCTGTCATAGTTGGAATTCCTGAATTCATCGTAGCAAGGAGAGAAACTCTTTCAAGACATAGCATCACGGCTTGGAGATATCGGGGACAACGAACATGTTCGCCCTAGGATCATTTAATTTACTTACATGTACGTCCATCACTAAGCATTTATTTCTTGAAAGGTGACGTAGCTGGGCCGTTAACACAAGGAGCCATTAGATAATATGCCGCTAGGCGGAATTATGCGCAAAATGGAACACACCGGAAAAATACCGGCTAGCCCATCTTCCCGGGCTTAGCCGACATCGCAAAACTTCTTTTGCCTTCGCCGGCGATAGTATTGCGGGTTGCAGGCAATCAACTATTGCACTCAACCAACGGTCACAGCCTTTACCACTACGCTCCCCCCATCGCACTTTTATCTATAATCATGGCTTCAGTCATGGCTTGGGGCGCCGGCGCTGCCGTTGCTGCCTTCCTAGTAAGCTCACCCGGTTAGACGAACAAGGGCCTCTACGATCTAACATTCAATCCTTTTCTTAGGGACGCGCTGGTCTTGTCGCCTGGCGACGCTCGCGCGGAGGTGTCGGCGCAATGGGCAAGGCCTTCTACAAGGGCGGGTTCGAACCCAAGATGACCAAGAAGGAAGCGTCGTTGATCCTGTCTCTCAAGTATGTTTGCCCGCCCCTCCCCCCCGGCGGCATCATCTCCCCCACGGCATTTTACTTACACGTTTGTTCCAGCGAGCGCAGCATCACAAAGGACAAGGTCCGCAAGGCCCACCGGACAATCATGCTTCTGAACCACCCCGATCGAGGCGGCAGCCCCTACCTGGCCACCAAGGTCAATGAAGCAAAAGAACTGTTGGACAAACAGCACTGATACGGGCTGGGCGGGGAGCAAAAAGACATATTATCCACACCGCTTACGAAGAATTTGTATACATATGAACGCTACGTCACCAGAACAAGCAATGGGGATTCCAGCATAATGGGCGGTGGGATACTGCACATGTACAATAATGAGTTTCATAGCGATGGCGTTGATCTGGTTGGTGCGAGAGCTATCCGAGGCGAAGACCGGCTCTTCGAATACACGCCAATGGGCTAATCTAGAAGTTGAAAGGGAAAAAAAAGAAATAGACAGGCTCACATCTGAAGCCCATTCTCTCCTCAAGTCTCTGTCTGCTATCTATGCGCCACTACATCACTACCATAGGGACCCCGCCCTCTGTAGCGACCTCCGTAGTTTCCTCTGCGGGACTCTCTGGCTCCTGGGCGAACATCTCCGGCACATATTCCTCTCCCTTCTCCTTCGCAGCTTGCTTGCGTGTATTCTCGATGGCGAGCCCAATCGAAGCACGCAGGGTGAACACTGCGTCGTTGCCAGCATTGTGCAGGTTCCTGCTCGAAATGCCAAGGTCCGACAGAACTGCGCTGAGACCACGGCCGCAGTCGAGCTCTCGCAAGACCTGGTGAAGGACCTGGCTGTCGATCGTCTTTTTGATGGAATCAATGCTGGCTAGATCGATGCCGAGACTGAAGAGGTATCGTATGTCTTGATGGATATCATGTCCCACCAGGGCAATGCTGCGGCCGCCTTCAATGTAGGGATTGAGGATCGAGAGAATCGCCTCCTTTGTCTCTGACTTGGTTGGGAACGTGCTCTCTCTGCAGTGTGGTTAGTATAGGACTCCATATGTTTTACCATGACAGAAACCCCTTGGTGGGGATTACACTTACCCAAAGTTGAAAGCATCAGGACACCCTTGGACGTAGTCACGGTTGACCAGCGCCGACAACTCCCTGACTCGGAGATGATGGGCCTTGATCAACGGCCACCATTCCTGGCCAGCAGGTCCAGGCACGGTCTTCGCGATGTCCCTCGTATCTAGGATTGCGATGCCAATCTCGGAGATGGGGTTCGGTGGCCTTTCAATGGCCTCAACATCAAAACAGAACAGAACGAAGTCTTCAGCAACACCGTCGGGAGAAGCAACCCCCAGCAGTTTCTGGGCATCTGCAGCCATCTGTTTCCGTTCAAGTTTCTTCCGCTGCGACTTTTGATTGCTCTTGTAACGGTCTTTCTTCGGGACGCGCTCCACCAGGCTCACAGTCTCCAGGAACAGCTTCTGCGCGATAGGCGTGGCCGATTTGAAGAGCTGGGCATCATCATCGCTGATGTCGGGCAGTTCCTCGAGAGAGAGAACTTTCTGGTCTCGGGACCGTTGGAAGTAGCGTGGTCTGGGCGTCTCGTTCTGGAACGTGATGAAGAACTTGTCCGTGCTAATGCCTCCCGGAATCGCCAATGAGATGCCCAGCTCCTTGTTGACCATGTCGAGAAAATCCTGGAATTGCGCCGTTGGCACGAGTAGGCTTGGCTCGTTGCTAGGCTTTGTAGGGTTGTGGATGCAGAAACTGTTCCGGTCAGAAAAGGATTCAAAAGAAGAAAAGGTAGCAAGATAACACCGCCGAGTAGACTTACAAATCCCACACTCTTCCTTCAGTTATCTTCGCCCAAAAAGGAGCCGCCTGGAATATTGTTAATACTTCTCACACATCAAAGGTCCTTCGTGACTCATTTTAAACTTACATGTGGACGGTTAGTTTTGCCGATAAAGAGCTCCCCGTAAGTGGTGACCACTTTCCAGGGAACAAACGGGAAATCCGCATCCAAGGGCTCGCCAAGTTGGTAGTTTTCGCAGTCGAATGCTCCAGCAGTGCTCGCGCGTGGTCCAACGTCATCGTTGATGAACAAACGAGGAGCTTTACCTTTGGGTTTGGGAAATTCAATAGCAGGTTGTGCAAGGTCATTTGAAGGAGGCTCGTTGAGATCCTTCTCCTCTGGATGGGACTCGGGCTCTGGCTCTCGAAGTGTGAAAGATTTTCCAAAGAGCTTCGACAAAACCTCGAGTCTGTTAGAAATGTCCGTTGCCTCCATCGTGGGCGGGCACTTGGCTTCTTCTTGGGTGATAATTGAGGAGAGCGCCGTAGGTGAAACAAGTAAATGACGAGAAGAAAGTAGCCCAGCGAGAGTAAAGAAAGGCGGGCACGGTTCCTTTTCTTATATCTTGAAGTACTGAAAATTCAGCACAAGAACAAAGGTGCAGGAGGGGAGAGAGGATGGCGTTTGGTGCCTGAGGAAGAGTAAGTGTGCGCGTTCCGCTACTCTTGTACGCCAACAACTGGCAGGTACAAAACCAACACAAGGCCTGGGCCCTTCCGCTCCCGAAATTGATACGATAAGGCGTTCCTTAATTTCACGCATTTATAAAACGCCGGGATGTTGCATTCGGAAGATATTTCTTCTTCTTCAGTGGTCAACGAGCTAGCTGATCGCATTTTCCAAGGTACTATCTCAATATACTTCATACATGCATAGTGTTTGCCTCCCAGTTCCGACGGGAAATATACGATGCCAACACCCGAGATCATTCGGCATTATCTCATTCCAGTCATAAAAGCGGGCGAAGATACTTGTCTTGCTTGTTTGTAGGGTGCCTGCATGTTCCCGTTCGTGCTATCTTTGTTTGTAGAACTACGGCGCGGTTAGCAAACCTTTGTCTCAACGCAAGGGGGCGGGTGGCTGCTTTCGGCTTACCTGGTCTGCATCATCTAAATTGACATCAGATGTATCTGCTTGGGTCTTGTCAATCAACCCGAGCTTTCCGTAGCGAATCTTAAACCAGAAATCTCTTCTGTCACCACCCAGAGTTCCCGAGAGCAATGCCTTCTTGAAATTGCGGATAAATGAGTTGAAGAATTTCGGCTCCTCGATGTTGATCAACTCTTCTCGCATTACGCCAATGCATTCCATTGCTTGGTCATACTTGCTGTCTCCAAAGCTTTCCGTCACAAGAGAGCGGATAATGTCTCCCATCTGCTTCGCGGCATCTTCGATTTCGCTCTCCGATTCAGTTGCTCCAATTGCATTCTTGAAGTCTGGAACTGGGTTTTCAGGGCTGATTGTGCCCTTATCATCGCCCAAGAGAGCATCTATATCTAAGCCAGAAATTGGCTTGACTGCGTCTCTTCGTCGTTTGCCCTTCGCCTTTGGCGGTACTAGATAGAATTGTTAGCAATGAATGTGTGAGCGTATTGGCGCCATTTCCAGCTTACCTTTCTTGACATCAGAAGCCTCAATTAAAGCCTCAATCGCGTCTTTATTCTTCGCTAGGAGGTCTTCAGGGGGAGACGAGAATTGTAGTAAGATTGATGGAATGTTCGGCACAGAGCCGTCTGGATGTATCGCCCTGTTCTTCACGGCATGATTGATACGATGGATCGATGGGTTGTAAGACTCGTCGATTGGAGCATACTCGGACGGTTCCCTAAATCGGTTGTTAGCACTATGGGTCATTGGGAAGGGACTCGCAGGCGGCTAATCTCACCCATCATCGCCAACCCCATAGGTCGAGATGTCCATCGCATCAACATAATCGCTCATGGCCAAGTTGAGGTCGTCTGAAGGCAAGAACCGATGTTCGCTTTTTAGCGTCTGTCCAGTAATAGTAACAACCCTGTCTAATGGTGGAAATTGATAGCTGCGGATGTCTTCGGCGAAAGGTAACGGTACGTCATAGAGACACTCCAGACCTGGCTCAACGTGTGGTGCCAATAGAACCAACTGGGGGTCCTTCCCATCCTTGGTTACAAGACGTGCGACGGCATATGACTCAACTTCGTTAAGTGCCCATACCAGGGAAGAAAGCGCTAATTCGGACTTCTCATCAAACTTACGGGCGTGGGTAACGCATACCTCGCCCATGTTGAGGAACAATTCATACTGGGAGTAAGGTGGTCAGCTGCCAGGAAACCCTCAGGAAGAAAATTGTGCGAGATTTACCTTGCTCCACGGAATAAAGCCAATGATTGTGAAGCTCTTCACAGACTCGAGCTTCGTGATATTGTGTTCGGACTCACTGATGTGGACTGCTGTTCTGCCATACTCAAAGCCCTTGGCGAGGGAATCGAATTCTACATCTCGCTTTCCGCCTGGCGCATCCGCATCATTCACTTTGTATGATCGGTTCTGCTTGACGGCAGAAAATTCAATGCCTTCCATATCACCGCCGTCGACGGTTTCGGTGGATTGTGACCCGCCTAGTTCTGGCTTGACCACAACTGTGCTAGCCGCCAAAGGGCGAGCCAGGTGCGTCTTGAAGTATCTCTCGACATTGATGTTCATGGCTGCTGGGAATTTTTCTGGATCTCCGAGAGTAAGAGAGCCGTCGTAGGTCTTATACGGCTTGACAGATTTGACTCTGGGTGTGTCGAGCTGGTCAATTGCCTCGCCAATGGAAGCAAAGACGCCATCAGTACAAGCATTGGCCAACGTTTTTAATGTTTGCTCGTTCTCAGCCTAATGGGAATCTTGTTAGACTACGTTCGCATGATTGGTTGGGCTTTGAACAACACCTTTTGGGGAGGCTTGTCTTCCTCTTTAACACCGTACTCCTCATCATCAAAATCCACACCCCTAGCAGGGGCCATGTCAGCGAGGGTAGCTATGGTCAAAGGCGCATTTGACTCACAAAATTGTCAGTTGGATGTTGGAGTCGTTAATCTTTTTGGCAATATCTTCAACGTCATCGGCATCCATAGCCCCCTGTCCATCTGTGACCAGGTATATCTTCCGAGTCCATTTGAGCTTCTTAGTAAATGTCGCCATCATGTCGACAGCGACAACAATAGCAGAAATTGCATCGCCCGTCGAGGTGGTGCTTGGCCCAATGGAAGACTGCAGATCTCGCAGAGCAGTCATGCCCATTGGGCCAAGTTCCTGCAGCACGGAGATATTCTCGTAACCTTCATCCTCCTGCAACTTGTTATTGGTCTCATCCGTGCGCAGCCCCACGACACCAACACACAACGTCTTGCGATTTGCGGCAACCGTGTCTGTGATTTTGTCCCACACGTATCGCATACTCCAGTCTAGGTCTGATTCTGAGCGTCCATGATTGCTCTGTGCCATGGACGAGCCCAGGTCAATGATGAAGATGCTGGCCTCTTTTTCAGCCATTGTAGCTAGTAATGATCAACTGAAAAATCAATCGCACGAGGATGATAATATGTGAAGAGGAGAGAACCGCTGAGAAGGCTGGCAATGGGATTATAAAGGAAGATCCTGGCGCATGTTCACAGCCGATGGCGCGCTTGCTGCTGACGTTTAGGCAGAAGTTGAACCCACATCCAGGTGCTTTGCAGGGTCGCATCCCAACACGGTTGTAACGCGACATCACGTGACAAGATCGTGGAAACCGCCTGATCATCCATGATGTCAATTGGGTATGCCGGGTACCCCGACTTCACTCCTCAATTCCTCAGCTCAATTCAAACACTACTTCTCAAAATATTGATTTGAGAACCGTCACAATGGCAGGCTCTATCCTCTTCTCGGCGGCGCCGTACCACATAATAGCGTAAGCGCTGCTGACCACAAAGCCAGTCAGAGCAACCCAATTGCTAATGCAGCCTCGGCAGATATGGCACCCTGGTAGGCACATCATTCTGGCATGTAAGTCTAACTAAATCCGATCTTGGTGTCGATATACATGCTTACCAGCTGGTAGTCCTTCATTGTCGGCCCAGTTATGTTCAAGACCGTTGAGCGGCCTGTCTTCTCGGCTGTCCAGAGCGGACTCTTCCCCACCTACTTTGGTCTGCAGACTGCAATCCCTGTTGTGCTGGCTTTGAGTTTTCCTGGAAACAGCCTTCTGGGCATCTCATCTGGAGTCTCGGGCCTTCTGGATGAATCTCACCGCCTTGGGTCGTTGCTCCCTATCACTACTGCCTTCCTCTCCGGTCTTGTCAACTTTGTTGTCTTGCTCCCTACAGTGAACAAAGTTATGAAGCAGCGTCAAGGCCAAGGTATGCCGCCCTCCGAATCGACCTTTATTCTAGCACAGGGCAACAGAATTAACTGGAATCAATAGCCAAGCGTGATGGGAAGGAATGGTACGCCGAGGGCCCTCACTCTGAGGAGATGCAAGCTCTCACCAAGAAGTTTGGCATGCTTCACGGTATCTCCTCTCTTCTTAACCTCACAACTTTTGTGTCCGCACTGGTATACGGCTTTACTCTTGGATCTCGCATCCAGCCTCTGGCTGAGTAAGTCATGTAAGATATCATTGAACATGTAAACGTTTGGATTGTCTGTTTTGAATCTCGTTACAACTCAATCTCCATACTCTCAATGCCAACCATGATCACCCCCTACCTCCCTTCGTTTGAGTGAGAAATGAAAAAAAAAACACCATGAACCAATGAACATTGAACATAACAAACGATGCGTGTGCAAATAACCTCGCAATGCAGTGAAGGAGATGACGAGGGAAGGGGGAAACGTCAAGTTGGTCGACAATGAGGTCCCTCTCGCGTGTGCCCTTCCAACTGACTTGTGGGTGAGGGGGGGGGAGGGGGGCAAACGGTGCTCTCGCCAGCAAATGGCTGTCGATTTAACGTGGAGTGGGAAAAGGTGACGAGTGTTCGGAGTGTGCTGCCCTCGAAATCAGCGGCTCTGCATCTTCTGATGCGATGCAAGGAGCTTAGCCTTGATTGCATCGAGGTCTTGTTTTGCCGAGTTGGCTTGGCTGAGGCTGATCTGTCGGGCTCTCTGCTGCGGGCTTCTTGCTCGATTGGCTTCCATCTGTCCAGCAATAGTCCATCGACCAGGTTGGCGTCCAAGAGCTTCGTCAATGTCTAGATCGCCCTCGGGCTTGGGGAAGTCGCGCATCATGGCAGGAAGAGGGTGCTGGTTGGGGTCTTTCTTCAGATCATCCTTGTTGATCTTGGCTTCCTCAACGTCGGGAGTGGAAGGGGGGGATGTGCTTGAGGATGTGCTTTGAGTGGAGGTAGGAGCGGGTGGAAAGTAGCTTTGCTTGTCGCTCATTGTGTCTTGCCTTCTTTTGTCTTCTTGTTTCTTCTCGGGAGGGATGATTTGTTGTGAATTTGATGGCTGGTCACTGTTGAGTTGAAGTTTCTGAAGAAGTTGTCGCGTCGAGAAAAAAACAAAAGGCGAGGGCACTTCGTTCTCAGTTCGTTCTCAGTTTTTAGGGCGCTCGCTTCCTCTCACTACCTCTCCTCTCACTGGCTTCTACCTACGCAGGGAACGCTACGAAGCTCAACGCACATCATTCACCGTCCGGTCTCATGCTTCGGATGATAAGATTGTTAGATATATCATTCGTAGGAAAATGACGAGAAATATCATTCTTTACTGTTTGTATTCCTCCTCCCTTCCTCGTTCTCTCCTCCTCTCGGAAACGGGCTGGCTCTTTCTCTCAGCCGCTAGTATGCTGCAGAAGAATGTTCGTCGAACCGAGTGAAAAGCAGTTCATTGTATGGAGCTTGAATAACAAGCTCATTTCAATATAATAATTCAAATACCCCTTATTTAAGAGTAAAAAACACGTTCATTCATAATACAGTAGTGCCGAACGTCAATTCCTACCTACTGGGCATATGCTCCTACCCTATAGTTATGGTCAAGGAATGCCAACAACAGTCACCGTCCAACTTTATTCCGGTGATTTTTTGTTTGATTAACTCACATGATTTATGAAAGAGAAAAAAGTACCTACATATTCCATGATCAAAAGGAAAGGGGGTTGCTAATGAATCAGTAACCAGCGTTGCTGTCGTTAGTGTCCGAGTTGGGCGGGACGTGACTGACTAATCGCGATGGTCATGAATTGGTTGCATTACATGAACATCTGGCAAGAACTGCTTGAAATCTCACCGTTGTCAGCAGTTTTTATCCTCGCTTTCTAAACCTCAGACTCATCTGTGAATATTTCTTACTCTGAGTTAAAAGATGGCAGCCAAGCCCCAATACCTTACCGGCAATATCGCCGCCATTAATGAATTCATCGACGAGTTTGATGTGAGCGATTTGTTGTGACTGAATGACTTTATTTTCATCTGACACTCAACCCCTTTTTAGGTTTTTCTGCTAGATTGCGACGGTGAGGCACACCTATCATGCGTGATGCATTGGAATGAAGCTCATTGGAATTAGGCGTATTGTGGTCTGGTGATCATGTCTTTGAAGGCATTCCCGAGACTATCAAGCTCCTCCAGTCAAAAGGTATTCAGCCAGCCCACCGATTGAGAGCCAATTTGCAGAAAGTAACTTTGGCTGGACCACAGGAAAAAGAACCGTCTTCGTGACGAACAACTCCACCAAATCACGAGAAGAGTATCTCAAGAAGCTCACCAAACTCAACATCCCAAGTACTGTCGAGGATATCTTTGGCTCAGCGTACTCGGCGTCCATTTACATCTCCCGCATTCTTCAGCTGCCTCCCGGAAAGAGCAAGGTTTTCGTCATCGGAGAGGTTGGTATCGAGAAGGAGCTGGACAGCGAGAACGTACCGCACATTGGCGGGACGGATCCCGAGCTCAGAAGAGACATCACCCCTGCCGACTTTGAGGGCCTGGCCAATGGCTCCCTGCTGGACCCGGAGGTTGGTGTTGTTCTGGCCGGTTTGGATTTCCACTTCAACTACCTCAAGATGGCCCACGGCTTTCACTATCTGAAGCGAGGTGCCAAGTTCTTGGCAACCAATATTGACTCTACGCTGCCCATGCACCACGACTTCTTCCTGGGTGCTGGGTCGTCAATGGCACCTCTGGTATCAGCCTGGGGCCAGCCTCCTCTCGCGCTCGGAAAGCCCAGCCAGGCCATGCTCGACGCTGTCGAGGGCAAGTTCCAGCTGGATCGGTCTAGGACGTGCATGATTGGAGACAGATTGAATACTGACATCAAGTTTGGAGTTGACGGGAAGCTGGGCGGCACTCTTCATGTGCAGACTGGCGTTGACAAGAAGGAGGCCTGGGAAAAGGAGGACGCCATTGCCGTCCCACGATTTTACGTTGAGAAGTTGAGCGATCTGCTCCTTGCTAAGGAGTAAAATCGACTATGCATTTTATTTTCTAGAAGAAACGATAGACCCTTGATAGAGAGATAGAGCCGCTCTTCCTACCTGATGAGGTTGAGAAGAGCGGGGTTTGATAGATAACTCTGTGGTGTCTCTGCAGAAATCGACAGTATTACCTTTACCAGTTTATCAATTCTGCGGTGCGTCTCCTTTACTTTGAAGACTGCCTGGACCCAGATATAACGCAGGGCGGTTATTTTTGTTTCTGAGTTTCCTTTTGTGTGATTTTGGCCACATTCTTGGGGGGTTTGTAGCCGCCAAGCGAAGTAGGAATGAACATGCCAACTTGCTTCTGGTACTCTGAATACTCCGGATACTTTCCAGTTGTGATGGCCTCCGTGAGCCAAGTTGACCCTTGGAAAAGCAAAACTAGAGCGCCAGCCCCGATTCCAGTCCAGCTGTAGACGTTGTTGGTTGCGTAACAGCTCCACTGGTAGAGAACCAGCCAGATGCTCTGCTCCGCAAAGAAATTGGGGTGCCTGCTGTATGCGAACAAGCCCGATGTGAGAAAACCACGATCAAGGTCAGCTCGATTAAACCCTTGGGGTACCTTGGCATCTTTTAGGTACTTGTGTTTGGCGGTTTGGTACGCTTGACAAGTCGTCTCGTTAGCGATCTTGACCTAGGAAGGAGGGATGAATGGATTGAATTGTTTTGGGAACATACTCCACATCTGGCCGTCACTGACGAATTCACTGGCGACGAGGAAGACCTCTGCAACGAAGTACAGTACATCTGGCGTTGTGATAGATGGTTCAAACTGGGTCGAAAGCAGAATGGCATACGCAGGTATGCATGAGAATGAGAACAGAAGGACACTCTGAATGAAAGAAATGAAGGTTATGTTGAATATGATCCATACGGGTCGAGGGAGATATTTCTGAACAATGGCCCTGGTAAACAAATTAGCTGGGCGAGTTCCATTCGGTTTCGTTGGGAGACAACCTACCATCGATAGTCCTCCGAGCCAACGGTGTAACCTCCCTTGCGCCAATAGTTGAAGGTTAAGCGTGCCTATGGAAGCATTTTGTTAGTACAGTACCGATCTCGGATAAAGAGAGCATTTCCGGGGTGTCCTTACGCTCCAAAGTGATGTGAATACGGCAATAAGGTCAATGCGGGAGTGGGGGAGACCAGCTAGCCGTGCCCACAAGGCGAGGTGGACGACGTAGAGGTTGGGTAGAATACTCCACAACCGATCAACCTGGGAGTAGTTTCTGTTTAACTCGGAGACGATGAAAAAGGCGACGCTAAAAGCAACTGAGGCTGCAAATGCCGAAACAAGGGGGTTTGTTTCAACATAGAGCTGAGTGAGGCCGGCGGTGTTGTTCAGCAAGCTGGACGGAAGTCCTATGAGCTGCGGAATGAACGGCTCGACGGTTTTCGCATAATCCCCGCACTCCTCGATTGTCTGGAGAGTAGGTAGAGCCATCTTTCGTTTGCGGTATTCTATGATATTCTTGAAATGTTTGAGGAAACTCTTGAGTAGCAGAGGAAACCAAGTAATCCAGCCTTTATGTTATCCCTCAAGGTTACCTGAAGGTGTTTGCGATGGGGAATAGGCGTCATAGATTTAGGGACTTAGCGGCTAGCGGGTCGCTAATTTTACCCGAGGCAGGGCGCTGATGCAGCGAGAGACCCACTATGTTATCGTTGATGTCCAGTATAAATCGGCGTGTTACCACTCTTAGTTGGCCTGACCGCCTTCCCGGATGGGGCTTCCTTAGAACGCGTTTGGTGGGGATCATTCACAGAAGAGAAAGTCGCGACTGCAAATTATTTAGCACACTTGCCGTTTCCTCGGGTGCAGCAAGCAATTTTACTACGATGGGCTGGTAGGAATGGAACGGGACATTCTCTGCCATATTCACACACACACTTCTGGGAGCATTTGGTGGCTCTGCACTGCAATGATCCAATCCTTATGGCGATCATGAATGACATTCTAGAACGTAGCCCCATACCGACGCAAAAGTCTGCTGCCTTCTCCAGGTGATTCCTTCCCAATGAGCTCGACCGTCGAGTCATCCTTGCGGTTCACATTGGAAACACTTGAGGAAAGACCTGAACACAGTGTTGCAAAGCCATGAAGGTTCTTTGCGTGGCTGAGAAGCCTTCCATCTCCAAGGCTGTAGCCGGCCATCTCTCAGGCGGTGGCTTTCAGACCGTAAGTTCCTTACCAATCTAACCCAGATTTCCCTCCCATTCTCAAACATCGTATAAGCACAACTGTTGCATGGGGCTGGAGATTCTAATAGATGGGTGTAGCGCAATACTCGGAATCAGTACATCAAAAACTACACGTTTAACTTTGATTTTGGGCAGTCTTGGGGTCAGTGTGATGTCAATATGACATGTGTGACTGGGCATTTGACACAAGCCGAGTTTACCAGCGAGTTCCGAAACTGGAGTTTCCCACCCCCGGAAGCATTATTTGATGCGCCGATAGTCACAAATGTCGTGGATGTTCGTCCCTTCTGAAGCACCACGGCATCTCTGCCATGCAGCTAGCTAACGCATGGACAGGACAAGAAAGCGATAGCACAGAATATTGCAGACCAGGCGAGGTGGTCGCAACTTCTTGTGATATGGACGGACTGTGATCGTGAAGGCGAGCATATTGGGAATGAGATTGTTGAAGCTGCATACAAGGGGAATGCCAATATCCCCGTAAAACGGGCCAAGTTCAGCAACATTGAACGCGCGTATGAGCGAAGCCTCCCGCACTTTTCTTGTGGAATGAGTCAAGGCTGACGGGTGGTCTGTGGTGTAGTCATGTCATATCTGCAGCAAAACGTCTCGTTGACCTGGACGAGAAGCAGGTGAGCGCCGTGGCTGCCCGTATTGAGCTGGACCTACGCATTGGATACGCCTTTACACGATTCATCACCAACAACCTCAGACCTCTTCGTGGGCCAATGGAGAACCTGGTTATCAGCTACGGTAAATTCCCAAGAACAGACAACAACCGACTTTTTCACAACTGATTAATCGATTGTCTAGGTTCATGCCAGTTCCCAACATTGGGATTCGTTGTAGACCGGTATTTTCGAGTCAAAAACTTCGTGCCGGAAACCTTTTGGGGCATCAAGTTGACACATTTAAGAGAAGGCAAAACGATCAATTTCAGCTGGGCCAGGCATCGGCTTTTCGATCGTATGGCCGTCGTCATCTTGTACGAGAAATGTCTGGTAGCGAAAAAGGCCAAGGTGACTAAGGTTCAGAAAAAACCAACCAGGAAGTTCAAGCCGCTGCCTTTGACGACGGTTGAGCTTCAGAAAGCAGCGACGGCGTTACTCCGAATGAGTGGTCAACAAGCAATGACTTTGGCGGAGGGTTTGTACAACAAGGGTTTCATAAGCTACCCCCGAACCGAGACTGATCGGTTCGATCGTGGGATGAACCTGAAAGCCCTCGTCGAGAAGCAGACGCCTGACTCCCGATGGGGCAACTATGCTCGTGGATTGTGCGATGGTGGCTTCCAGCAACCAAGGGAGGGCAAACATGATGATAAAGCCCACCCACCCATTCATCCCATTACATATGCCGCCCCGACTGTTTTGAGTCACGATGAAGGCCGGATATATGAATATGTGGTGCGCCGATTCCTTGCATGCTGCTCCGAGGATGCCAAAGGTGAAGCCAGCGACGTTGAGCTTCAGTACGGGGACGAGCTATTTAGTGCTCACGGCGTCATTGTTTCGGAAAAAAACTATCTTGAGGTGTTCATCTACGAGAAATGGGACAACACGATCGAAATGCCTAAATTTACAGTGGGTGAGCAATTCGAACCAACCGAGGCTATGATGACAGATGGCAAGACGTCACCGCCCAGCTATCTCACCGAGGCGGACCTGATAGCCCTGATGGACGCAAACGGTATTGGAACAGATGCTACAATGGCGGAACATATTCAAAAGATCCAAGATCGAGAGTATGTGGCTACCGTAGATCGAGGTGGTCAGCCAGCTGGCGATCCCGAGCAGAATGATAACGAGCCGGCACCGGCTTCTAGAGGCCGAGGTCGCGGAAGAGGGGGCCGTGGGGGTGGGCGAGGTCGCGGAGGTTCTGGCACGACAACAGGACGCAGAGGGATAAAGTTGTTTGTGCCTACTCAGCTGGGCGTCGCCCTAATCCTGGGATTTGATCGGATGAACTTTGAGACAAGTCTTGGCAAGCCATTCCTGCGGAAAGAAATGGAATTGAAGATGAAGGCCATATGCGATGGTCACACCACAAAGGATGTTGTGCTTCGCGAAAGCATTGCGCAGTACCGCCACGTATACATGGAGTCGCAGCAGAAGCTGCATGTCTTGAAATCAGTGAGTTTAGCGCCCTGTGATGAGCAGCACCACCCATAGCTTCAGCCACTGACAATGGAGGGTAGGCATGTAGAGAGTTCGTATTTGGCCAACCGGGAAGTTGAGTGTGTAGCTCCCACCCTCTAGTGAGGGTATTTTCTGCTGGATGGTCTCGCATCTATGGGGCCACGACCTTGCATAGCCGCAGGATGGCAGCTTCTTCTAGTCCCGTGGTGGCTCTACGCATTTCATGTACACCATTGTATACCGGCCAGCCGGCGAGTGTTGCCCACCCAGCAGACTGTCTAGGCACCAAGACGACCCCTGGTTCGGGTACGCATTGGGCTATCTGCATGGATGTAACCCTCAGCAGGTGGCAAGCGAGCCTGGGGAGATCTCAAACAGACGTCCCTCTGCTTCTCTTCAAGCTTGTGACGACGAGTTCCATCAATAAACTTGAAGAAACTTTGTTGGGGAAGATGAAATTCCTCTTCGGGATCGTTCGGGCCTCTCAACAGGATACTCTCCCGAACGCGGGAGTCCAGCTATGGCGATAGGATGACGGCAAGGCCACATGACTGGCTTCAATTCGCGGCCAAGGTTGGAAAGCTAGGAGTGGCGTTGTACCTGGCCGCCTGGATTTCGGACTTTCAGAATACCTGACGACGATTGCCAGTTTGAGGAGGGGGTTGGACTACAAAGTGTGGGCCAGCCACCCAAAACCAAAACCAACCTTGACCCAAAGCATAGGCCCAATCAGACGACTCCCCAGCCAACGTGAGTGATGGTTGTACAAAGAATTCGCCCTTCGAAACTGATGCGACACTGTTACTGAGAGTAGACTTGCGCGAATTGATACATCCAAAACTCAGAAGTTCTGCGCCTCCGGCTTTCTCAAGGCGACCGAGTCGTCAAGAAGGGGATAACCCCCCGCTAGCTCCTCTCCTGCATGCCCAACATGGTTCACTCTGCATCATCGTCAGCAAGGCACGGCTCTTGGCTACCCAAAGCCCGCTCTTGATGCACTGATGATGATGATGATGGCAGTGGAATCAGTCTTACAGAGACGCGTCAACCCCGCAGCGGGTCAAGCGCTCTATATTAGCTGCGGCGATGGGATGCTGGTCCATTACATATTTACGGCACATGCGCCTTTTCATCATCCTCATTGAGGCATTGGGCATGACCTGTGGATCGTATCTGCGGAGTGTCATCGCACTACTCGGCACTATCACTGCTACAATTATATACATATCTCATGCAAAAAAGGTAGCAGCGGAGGAGCACCGGGTTCTCTGAGTTTGAATATTGCGTACCGACGACTGAAGCTGGTGATAGATGGACCCCCACGCGGAGACTGAGGGACTAATCCATCCGTACTGATACGCGCGGGTCATACGCACTCACAACCAAGATACCACGATGGGTCAAGAGAAATGACAAGAAGAAAAGTGTATAAGTCTACGCCATTGATACCCACCTAGGGCAAAGACACACACGCACACACAACGAATTAAATGGGTGTGTAAGCGAGTGTTATTGTTGTGGTAAATTGTAGCCGCAAACTTGCGACAAATCTGACGCATCGACAGCTGAAAGTCCATGCGCCAATCTATTTTCACACATGTAAATTACCATCCCCTCCTAATTCTATTTATGTGGACACGATTGGAAAAACTCTGTAATTGTAATTGAATTGAAATTGAGGTGTGTAGTACCAAGGGGGAGAACATTGTGTGGCTTCAGCTGGCCTTCACGGTTGGCCCAGACTTACGATCACCATTCTCTCGTGTCAAATCGGATGAGGTCATTGAGCTAGAGATCCCACGAGCGCATTAAAATATCTCGTGGATGTGGGTGCTGGGCAAGATCCACTGTCCCCAGACGCGCTGGAGGCAGGCACTTAGAGATGCTGGCAGCGAGCAGTAGGAAGGCATTCCCAAGGCCACGTTCCCCATCAGCTGGTGGCAGTGGCGCCCTGGCAGATGGGCCTGCTGCCGGGCCGGGGGCGATCGTGGATTCGTCGTCGGCGCACGTTCATCAATGAATATTAATTAACGGACGGGGCCAAATCAATAGGGGGTAGAGAAAAGAAATTTTGCCCTGCCCTAAGCCTATTTACTAGCGCGCAAGAAGGCCAAAATTGATTTGGGGATGCAAAGTACCGTGACGTACCTTGGTAGTGGCATTTCAAGGCAGGTCTGATGATGATGGTTCTCCGGCGCCGGGCAAGAAGCAAGGCGCATGCATGGAGATTCATCAATCGGTGCGATCCATCAATCCCCGCGTGGTCGGCGAAAGTCGGATATGGGGAACTGCACCAGTGCAACACGTACATGGTACCTATGACTCCCTCTAGTCGGCCGCTATGGAATCCAGGAGGTAGGGAGTAAGAGTGCCACTGTTAGCCGCTGCGCTTTAGTGAATGGCCTTCCCCAGAGGCGTGCGCAAGGATGAATGGAGAGGGCGGGCGAACATCATCCATCCTCTGGCGCCTTATCTTGGCTCTGGTTGGAAACCAACAAACCAGGATCGGCGCTCGTCGAACGTTGGCACACGCTGGGCTCACTAGCTGCGTAAGTACATAATGAAAAGGCGGCTGCAGTTTGGAGATCTGTCTGTACCACCAACGCCTGCCGATCTGGACGCTGGCGAGCATTCCAGTGCGTTTCCGTGCCTTGCGCGACCACGGCTTATATCTGACAGGTGATGGGATTCCTTTGTTCCTCGCACTGATAAGAGCACGCACTACTACCTAACCAACCGCCCCTACCACTGCCACACTTGCACGCCACGAGACACTGGAGATACGTTAGGTCGGTGCCCGGGATGCCGGTACATGTGTGTACACCGTCCCGTCAAATACAAAGAAAGGGGGCCCGTACTCTGTACTCTACTGCGGGCCTCCTTCGTCCATACCTTAGCTTCTAGTTTGTCTACTCTAGTGTGGATGGAAGGCAGAGATCCCCAACTGTTTACGAGGCGGCCTGCGTCATGATAACGATACCCTCCTCGCATCTCCCTTTCCGGACCAGCGGGGGGCTTGGAGCATGTGAATGGAAAATGTGTCTAGGCACATGGTCAGGAGGCGAGCAGATGGATGAGTGAGTGTGAGGGGGTGGTTGTAGCAGCAGGCCAATACACACAGCTGGGACAGGAGGTAGCTGGTACCCACTCCCGGTTGCCAGTTTGGGGCAGCCAGCGATGTACCCAGCCGTACCTCTGACTTACTCGTATCTCACACTCCTTCCCCAATCCGGCAGCGGCCTCTGCGTTGGTCTGCGCTGGGCTGATGGATGACTGTTATTACAGCACCACGGTCCGGCCTTCGCAAACTCCCTTCCCTCCCCTTCTCTTCTCATCAACAATACCAGAACAAAGAAACCCAAACCGCACGATTCGTAGTGAAGAACTACTCGTCACAGTCACGATCATCGCGTCAGCTCTGCCAGACTGCACCTAGATTGCTTAGTCTTGCCTATCCACCCCGGCTCCATCTCTGACTCCCGAACTGTTTGGTACGTACCCTGTGTTTATCAACTCCTGACCAGGATGCTTTTTCGACGTGACTCTTTGGCGGTGTCGGATCGCTCGCTCGATGTGCGTGCCGGAGACGCTTTAAATACAGCAGATCTGCGCGTTGTCGATGCATTTCCTTCATCTCTGGTTGATCTACGCCACTCTCCAGCATCTTGCATATATACTGACGTCGACTTGCGGGTCCAGATACGTTCCGAGAATCTACATCAACCGGTAACCATGGCTACCTTGGCATCAGCTGCTCGCGATATCCCCCAGGCCTCCTTGACCCGAGACAACTTAGCTGTTGTAGCGGATCGGAGCACCTACGGGACTGTGGCACGACCTTTAGACCTCCCTACCCCCCCAAACTCCATATCCCCAGCCCTGCCGGCCCATGGCCTCAAGGCGCAACTCCAGAAGGCCAAGCTCGAGCCCATCGACTCTGATCTAGACCTGCGCGAGTCGTCAAGCGACCATCAGAGATCGGTATCGCCAGCGCTCGAGGCCTCGGGCGCCATCACCTGTGGCTTGCTCGCGAAATATCACCTCCCAGACATTTTGCTGAACCACGGGCCGCTGGCCATTCGCCACATAATGGGATACCTCACAACATCCGTTCCTGGATTTTCTGGTATCGCTCCAGCGAAAGCACGAAGGCTGGTTGTCGGCGCGCTCGAGGGTCGAGGCGGTGATGGGGGCGGTGTGGAGGGCGAGGTCGAATTTGAAAAAGTTGGATGGGGTCGGTGGGACGCGCGCCGTCGAGGGACCATGTCTCGCGACCGCCAGTTGTTGTCGCCCACTGGGTCGGCTTTCCCCGAAGGCATTCCTATCACCTCGACCGGAGCTGGCAGGGGAGACGGCAGACTCAAGGCCAACATGTCGAGTGAGCCTGATTCATTTCGGTTCTCCCACGACGCTACCCACTTCGAGGATGAAGCTGACAAAATGTCCATGGACGGATCCGCGTCCGCTTCATGCTCCGAGGCTCCAGATGATGATGATATCATGATGAATGACGACCCTGAGGATGTTACTGATGACGAAGACTGGGCCACGATGGGCGCGGCCGCTCTTCGTGCCGAGTCGTACCCCAATATGGCTGCAGCTCAGATGGACGGCAACCCTGCTGTGTTCCCTCCTGGCGGGTTGCGACCCTTCTCTGTCGCTAACGGTATGGCTCGTGCTCCACAACCGACAAATCTCAACATGGCAGCTTTCCCTAGCGCCTCCGATGCGCAGGAGCGCGAAGCTGTTGAGGCTCTTCTCCGCCTCGGTTCTGTATAATACCCTTCATGCATGCGTGGCGTTTACGGCGAACTTGGATCTTATTATTGGGGAGCGATTTGTTGAATTGGCTGGCCCATAAAATGCATATCGATGGCCAAGTCTTGAGGCGGCGACCTCCGGAGCATCTTTCCTCACCATTTTACTTTCTTACCACTCTATTACTCTTCAACTCTCAACTATTCTTATTTGGAGAATCAGTCCCCGCTTTCGGCTGACTTTCTTTTCGGACCCTCGAGATACCACCTGCCTGGATCACTTTGCTATGGCTTAATACTTGAAGAATCGCGCACAAAGGGGATTTTCATGGCGGTGGGAGGGATTTGCCTATTTTTGGGAGATTTGCTAGGAGCTTATCCTCTCTTTTTTGGTGCTCCCTTGCTTGACAATGCCAGGCCCCCTGTGTTGGGAATATTTGGCCATCGTTCTGGAAACGATTTGTTGGGCACAACATCACGACATCTTGAGCTGCGCTCACCGGCTACCGAACGAGCCGTATCTCCTTGAGACCAAGAAGACTGGTCTCTTCTTTACCTTCACGGAAAAAAAATTAGCATTCTTGCTGCATGTCGGCGTTTTGGAAGATAATTACTTTTTACACCATTTATCATGGACATTCGCACCTCTAATCTGCGATTACGAACATCTCTTCAACATGAATTGCGGTAGAGGAGAACGCGAAACAATAAGAAAAACATACTTTATAAATTACCCCAGCAGTTGCACCCCGCCTTCAGTGGATGTGTCGCAAAATGACACCTTCTATCTATGGGAGGCAACACAAAGACTTGGAATACAGAGGGATTCGGATCCCTAGTGAGCGGCCCAGAGGATGTCTGTCTTCTGGAGCCGAGGATAACGGTCTGCCAATGAGACGCAAACAAGGTAGATAAGGACAAGGACACACCCGCTGCTTGCATCGGCGGGTCATCTGCCTTCGTGAGGGTGTCAGATGGCAAACGATTTGTTACATGCGCCAAGCTTGATTGAATAGCAATGGAGGACCGTTGGTAGCACTCCCGCAGCGTTAGCAATTGATCGTTTAATGTAACACCAGGTGTGTTCCGTGATGTGATGTGATTTGATGTGATTTGCTTGTATGATGTGCTTGTGGCGAATGAGGTTGAGCGTATCATGATATGATAGGTTGGGCGGGTGTGTGTGTGTGGTTGAGGGCATCGGGATGTAACGTGCTTCAAGCGTCGCTGTCCTCGACTAAGATGAGGTTCTGTCAGTTGCACCTAGGTGTTTTGATGAACATTGTGAGTGTAGGAGTGTTAGGTTGACGAGTGGTTGCACAGTCTGGGGGGTATTTGCTGCAAATTTGACCAAGAGGAACAGAAGCTTTGTGGTAGAAGTTGGCACCATATTATTTCTACAACATTGCATTTCCAGTGATTGATTGATTGATTAGTGCTCAACGCTGGTTAGAGGCTGGTTACTTTTAGTGATTGGTAGAAACAGGTAGGGCTGTGGGTGAGAGGAGAAATGAGACACTTGATGGAAGAGTGGTTATAAACAGACTACTGTCTGTGATGAACAGAGAAAATCAGTTGTATAAACCGAATCAAAACGATAATGCCGTATTATCTTTGAAGTAGGTGTTATTAGCACTTAATAATCTGACAATACTGGTCACAGACTCGAAAATAAGCAGCTCAATGTTTGAGTATCTGACTTTATTACGACCTATTTGGCGGCCTGATACTGTTGATAAAGGCGCGGCATTTGATAATTGCCAAAAGACCCGCATCGTCTCCTACCACCTGTCACTCACACGAGATGTTATATGATACTGAGCCTATGTATTAGCGTCAGGCGATGGCAACCTCCGAGGCGGCCGACTGACAGGCATCGGCCAATCAGGCTAATCGACATTGGGAGATTTCATCTCTGGGCAAGTGCTTATTCGGGCGTGGAATATAACGTCACGTCAGTGTTGCCACGCGTTGCCAATAACCTTAGAAGAGGCGATGCGCTCTTGGCATTCCTCGCCCCCTTATCTGGGGACTTGTTCCTTGTGGGGAGGAAGAAGGGCTTGGCGAGCGGAAAGCTTGATTATCTTCTTGGCGCTTGGCGTCTTGCTTGAATCGAGGGTGGGGACGCCCTTTTGGCTTGCGAGCACGCTTCTGGATGGGTCACAAGGGACCACCAGCTCGCGGGATGGAGGGTGGCCTCGAGTCAATACTGACCTCTGGCGTCTGGCCATCCCGATTCAGGCTATTTGCCCATTATTGATCGCGCCGCCGTCGCTTCGCGTAGTCTGGATTGGCAGGGACGCGGACTCTCGAAGGGTGTTGGACTCCTTTGAGCCCGAACTGTCCTACCTACCTATTCAGACGCAAATACCTTTTTCGTGTCAGGTCTGTTCAGGCTGGGGGAATCGCGGAGGCCCCGGCCCGCCCTTTTGCGTCTTGTTCATTCGTCCAGACGGGGACGAGGAGGAGTACACAAAAGAAAAGAAAACAATAGCATGCATGGCGGAAATAGGCCCCGGCAGCACGTCGGTGATTGGCGTGACCGGCTGTCGTCATTCAGCGCGGGGTTCTTGAATGTTCTCTCCTGCTGGACAGGAGAGAAGAGAAAACGTAATGTGAACCATAGTTGTGGGTGCGGTTGGATTGGATTGTGATGAACCAGCCTATCGACGAACCTAATCACACAGCATATCACACAGCGGCGTGGCACAGCCATGATGGAAGGAGCCCGCGGACAGTGTCGTGGATATGTGGTCCAGGGTCCGCGATACTGTACGGACTACGTTAAGGTACCTGCTGACCCGAAAAGCTTAGCAGCGGCTGGAGCAGAGCGGGCGAACGAGAGAAGAGCGTGCGTGTGTGTGCCAATGCTGAAAAGCGCAAAGGAGGAGCCGATAGGTGGTGCACAGTACTCGGGTGGCCGCCCAGCGTACGGCGAGGCCAATGACAGCCTTGCGACGAGGGGCAATGCCAAGCCCGCCAAGGCTTGGCATATCTTGGCAGGCTCATATTTGCCTGACGGGGTGGTGTGTCTCTGTTAGTGCGGTACTTGTGTGATGTATGGTCGGCCGCACCGAGCCAAAGTCTCTTTTATGGCGCAGAACCTATTTCTCAGCGCCAAGAGCTGCCAAGGCCCGCCAAGGCCCGCCAAGACTTCCAAGAGTCCCGCTCACCCTTTCGCTCTTGCCCAAGCTGTTCGTGTAAATGTAAAGGGCGAAGAAGGTCCCCCCGGGCCTCCGTCGACGTTGTTTCTTCGTTCTCGTTGCCATTTCTCTCATCCGGAGAACTCAAGGATTTCCCAGTTTCAAGGTCTTTCGCGGTATTTGTGATCCGTGATCCGCCATCTCACAGCGCCCTCGGTGTCATTCGCCTCGCCCGGGCCACCAGCTTTCTGTGCCGAATCGCGCACTCGCCCAATACTCACCAAGCCCTATCTGCAACAAACCGTTAGGCTCCGGCCAGACTTTCGCGCATCATGACTCCTCCCCTTCCAGAGGTGCAACCTCAAACGTCGTCGGGATCCAGCAATAACAGCAATGACTCCAAGTCAGCCACTCCTCCCCCATCAAGTACTGCGTCTACTACTTCTGCCCCTCCTTCGACTTCGGCCGACGACAGCTTGATCTGCCGCTGGAATGCCTGCGGCCAGAAGTTCCCTACGCCAGAGAACCTCTATGTAAGCCGCCTTCTCTCTTATCTCCGGTTACATCTGCACCTTAATTTTGAGCATGTTATTCGCCGGCTGCTCTTGTTTTAAGTTGCAATGACGTACCGAGCTGCCCTGGTCACACTCGGAGCTATGCCGACTAACAAGATCCGCTGTATAGGACCACATCTGTGAGCGCCATGTTGGTCGCAAGAGCACAAACAATTTGAATCTCACTTGCCACTGGAACTCGTGTCGCACAACCACTGTGAAGCGCGACCACATTACTTCGCATATCCGTGTTCATGTTCCCCTCAAGCCTCACAAGTGCGAGTTCTGTGGCAAGTCGTTCAAGCGCCCCCAGGACCTGAAGAAGCATGTCAAGGTAGGTTCACCCTGCATATCGCGCGGCTGGGCGCATGTTTTGAATAAAGTTACTGATGCAAAAGAACCCGCAGACTCATGCCGACGACTCTGTTTTGGTCCGTTCCGCCCAGGACGCTCCACAGCCTCAGCAGGGTGGTATCAACTACCGGCCCCATATGAACAAGCGTACGTCACGACGTTTGAGATAACATGAAACGTAAATACTGACATCCCCCTTTATAGCTCCCGGCTACTATGATCACAATGGCCAGATGCGACCTAATTACCAGCACCAGCCGCATCCAAGCAGCTACTATGCTCCCCAGCCTTCTACCAACTATGGATTGTACTTCAACCAACCCACAATGAACAACCAGCGTGCCGAGCATCTTGGATATACCGCTGCTGGTCAGCCACCTGCGTTTGACCGCAAGCGCGCCTATGACATGGTGGATGACTTTTTCAACAGCGCCAAGCGCCGCGAGATTGACACCTCTTCTTATAGCCAGATTGGTCGCTCTCTCCTCCCTCTTCACAACAGTCTTTCTATTCCCAGCGGCCCAATGGCTGCTGCTCCTGAGAGCTATTTGCCCCAGCCAGCCGGTCCAGCCATGGCGCAAGCTGGTCCCTCGCCGTCCCAGAACCCTTTGGCCCAGCAGTACTATCTGCCGATTACACCCAATGCTCGAACCCAGAAGGACCTGGTCCAGATCGACAATCTTCTTGGACAGATGCAGAACACTATTTATGAAAATGCTAGCCATGCTACTGCTGGTGTCCACATTCACCACGGCAGCGAGCATTTCGGTGGTTTCCGCCATAGCCCTTCGCCTCCCACGATGCAGCGAAGCCCCACGGCCGCCGGCATGCATGTCGGCGCCGAGGCCTATCATCCTGTCTCGGCGGCAAGCATGGCTTCTCCGCTAACCGCCATCTCTTCCACCGGAACGCCCGCCGTCACTCCTCCCTCGAGCTCAATGTCTTACACCTCCGGGCACTCACCTAGCCCCTCGGCCTCTGATCTGTCCCCCCAGTCTCGTCACAGCTCTACGTCCTCGGTCATGTACCCAACACTCCCAACAAGCTTGCCCGCAGTAAGCCAGGGCTTTGGCCAATCAACAACCACAACTCTTGGGCCCAGCTTCGAGAGCAACGAGCGCCGCCGCTACTCTGGTGGTATGCTTCAGCGCGCCCGTGGTCCCCCTCCCCGATCCACTGATGACAACAATGGTGCCACCACTCCCAAGGCTAGTGAGCCTGCTGTTTCTGTCGGATCTCCGTCATCGGAATCAGAGGGCAGCGAGGCTACCCGCGAGAGGGAGGAGCAGTACGACCGCTGGCTCGAGAACATGCGCGTCATCGAGAGCCTACGTGAATATGTCAAGGGTCGTCTGGCACGAAAGGAGTATGTTGAGGAAGATGAGACACGGTCTCGAGATGGTGATGCCATGGATGTTGACGTTAGAAGCCCCAAGACGTCTACCCGAGAGCCCAGCCACCCCAAGGAGGGATCTTCGCTCTACCCCATCCTTCGTATGCCAGGTGCATAAGGGCGGGTATTGTGATTTGATGAATTTTTTACCATGTATAAAAATCAAGCCAGGGTTCATGGACAAAATGTTGAGGGTTCATGTGATGAAGTGGCCCATGACCGTTTCTTTTTTCTCTCTTTCTTTTCTTTCGACGTATATAGTGATGTGATGTTTTATTGCAAGCTGGACATAGGAATTAGTACCACAAAGTTTGATGGAGGAGCTTTGAAGGGAACATTGATCAATTATCTTGATTTGTTAAAGTAAAAGGTCTTGGAAATATGGAAATGTCAGTTATCACACTGGACGAATGCGAACAATTTACATGTGACTTTAATGAGCATAGAGCGTGATATAACATCAAGAAGACATGCAGACTTATCGATCAGCAGTGTAGTGACTTCACAAGCGACTGACATCAAACATGGCACATCTAGACACTTCAGCGTTTAATTTCAACACAATATCAGAATAACTGACCTAGTAATAAACACAATATCAAGCTAACTATCGTATAATAACTTATTGTTCTCTTATTGATACATTTAGTGTAAAAATGAGGACCCTGCCTTAGGCGAAAAGAGCTTTGGTGTGCCATGCATGTTTTATTTCACCCAGTTGTTTCCTTGAAGTGTTGGTTATTAGACACTGGCACAGTCTAGAGGATATGAGCCTCGCTTGTCCATAGCATATGAATCTACGGAAGATGTGGTCTAACGGAGGGGTCAATATTATATGTGGGCTTCGTGCTTGATTACCAACCTTATTCTGCTACCTCGCAACATTACCGACCATCGCCGTTCAATTGACATTCTCTCGTGCTATACAAACATGTCTTTCTCTAGATCAAGTATCTGGCTGCTGTCAATGTTGAACCCCGTGTCCCAATGAGGATACTTGTCGGTGAAGGTTTCGTCAAACCATATATGCCCTTCCTCTTCACCGCATGATTTGACCTCGATCGGCCCCAGGATGACTCTATAGGTCACATGGTCGGCGGTAAACTCAAAGCCCGCAAGGATCTCCAGGCACGATGCTTGGATGTTCTTGAGGTCCGTTTCGGTGAAGATGCGTGAGAAGGGATGAATGTAATCGTGGCCCACGCCGATATTTGCACCGAGGTTCTCCTCGAAGGTGGCGAGGGCTTCCGAGTTTGGTTCGCGCTCTATGAAGATGAAGTGATGCGCGTCGCAGCCGAAGGCATGGTGGAATTCGTAGAGCTTGAATGTCCGCCGTGGCTGGCGATGGGGTTGAGTTGACTCTAGAATGTCTACAAAGTAATGAGCATAGATGGCGCGCTTGCGGTCAAGAGACGTACCATTCTTGGAGGGGGTCTTATGAGTATTGCTGGAAGAACTCTGGTGCTGTTTGGAATCCATTTCGGAAGCTGGATAGGAGTTAGGTAAGGTAGGTAAATGGATGGCCGACTTGGTGGAAACATGGCGACTTATATATTCCTGGCTTGAGAACGTAAGGATCAGTGCAGGCGTGCCATTTGTCACTGAGGCGCCACTTTGGGCTTGTTGGTTCCGTCAGTGCGCGCTGTTGCCTGTTGTTGTTGTTGCCTGCTGTTGGTCCTGCTGGTAGCAGTTACCATCTCCTCTCAGTTGGGAAGCATTGAACGGCGCAGATAGCCTTTCATTCTAAACGGCTCAGTGTGATACAGATGGACAGTGATGCCTGGCATCAATATCCGGCCAAGCGACTGACATAAAACAGGGCACACCAAAGCTTCTTTTCACACAAGTCAGGGACCTTTTTTTTATATATATAAATTACTAAATATAATAATCAGTTAATTATTAATTATTCTAAAATATTTAGCTTGATATTGTGTTGATTACTGAATTAATTAATTATTTTGATATTGTGTTAAATATTTAATACTGAAGGTTCTGGGTGTGCCATGTTCTATGTTAGTCGCCTGCCAGCTTGCTCCCAAGATATGCGAGCTCGGGCGAGGAAACAGCAACGGAGTGAGATGATGGCCCAGAAACTTAACAGACATCAAAACTCTTGGGCTCAGAGCCTGGATCCAGTTTTTTTATGGACACTGCCGCTGATGCACGAGGTTCCCTGGCTAATTGATGTTTCAAGATTGTTAGTATTAAATTCCATCCAGGACGCAGAATGAAGAAGGCGGAAGAAGAATGAAGAACTCGTAGCGTAATTAGACAAAGCTTCCGCCTTTGCTTTCATCCTATTCACATCTAAATCATCTTCAGCTTTAAAGAAGGAACTATGGCTCTGCTTGGGCGTGATCTCGGAACCGAATACAAAAGAGTCGCTATCAACACACTGAAGCTGTTCCTGTCTGCCCCTTGTCGAAGTCCTAATCAGAAATAATATCCCTCAGTTAATGCGAGTGTGCAATTTTGCGATTTTCCATTCGGGGAAAGTGACTAAACGCATATACAGTTTCCTGCCATGTGTGCTGCTGTTCTTTGGTTTTTGGTCCTATTGGCAAAGGTCTTCCATGATCTAGGCGGATCGCGTACCTCTACAGCAAAAAGCGGGAATGGGTTTAGTTCCTGAATGCTCTGTAGGAAAGTATTCATTCATCGCCACCCCGCTAATGATGGAGGGAGAGAAAAAGGGAAATGTCACCATTAGTGGATGGTGTCTCCTTACCTGTTGTTAGATTTTGCGTTCTTCTGTTTCGTCATCCGGACTTTCGGCTGCTTTCCCATCCTCTCTAGCCAGTGACAGTATTTGAAAGGCAAGGAATGGAATGGGGGTAAATTGATAATTCTCAAGTAGTGACGACACACCATCGTCAAGGTCTATTGAGCCTATTGCTCGAAAGACGCTCGGTAGCCTCAACACTGCCACTTCTCTCGGCCCAAGAAAGAGGGGTTTGGCCATAGTCATCTATTGAATGAGGATCGACTTGGCCTGTTGCCAAAAGAAGCTCGATAATTTCGATACAGCCCCTTTCAGCAGCGAAAGAGAGCGGTGTCCGGCCAAAGTTATCTTTTGAGTCGGGGGCTACTTGATCTGTTTCTAAGAGAAGCTTGATAGCCTCAGTTTGGCCTCCTATGGCAGCTCGAGTGAGTGGGGTCTGGCCATAGTCGTCTCTTAAATCAGGGCCAGCTTGACCTGTTGCTAAGAGAAGCTTGATTGCCTCAGTTTGGCCCCCTATGGCAGCTCGGGAAAGCGGGGTTTGGCCATAGTCGTCTCTTAAACCAGGGCCAGCTTGGCCTGTTTCTAAGAGAAGCTTGATGGCCTCAGTTTGCCCCGTTGTGGCAGCCCAAGAAAGCGGGGTCTGGCCAGAATGGTCTCTTAAACCAAGGTCAGCTTTACCCGTTGCTAAGAGAAGCTTAATAGTCTTATTTTGGCCCCCTAAGATAGCCCGAGAAAGAGGATTTTGGCCGATTACGTTCGAAAAATTGATATCCCCTTTCCCATAATGAAGAAGAACTCTGAGCGCAGTCTCATGACCTTCAGCGACAGCCTTGTAGATGGCGTCGTCTGAGCTGAAATTTTGGTGGGAGGCTGGGTCTTCACTGTCTTGCTGGATGGCGGTAATTAAAAATATAGGATCCCCGTACTCTGCCAGATATGATACGAGTGACCTTTTCGAAGACGAAAAATTGAAAGCAGGTCTCGGCACCCATTTAAATTCAGTTTGCTCGAAGGAACTGAGATCTATCTCTGGAAATGTAGTTGATGCAGCAAGTCTATTTCGGACAACCTGAAGGATGTTGCGCCTTTCATGTATGATAGCTGCAAGCAATGGGCACCCACAACGCTCTGATCGTATCTCAAAGCAGTCCAAAATAGAAGGGTAAGATGCGAGAAGATTTGGGGTATCCTTTATAACTAGAATATATAGACCCCGTGTATCATCTGGATAAGGTTGTCGGTCTTTTTCTTTGTTGAGCAGGATCCATTGTTGTGTAGGAAATATAGAAATGAACTCTGGCTGTTGAATTCCAAAGCTTGCTGCTGCTTCTGCATGGAACAGCACACTTTCTGCCGCATATTTTAGAAAGGGGGAGATCGCGCCAGCTAATTCGCGGTTTGTTATCGCTAGAGAGATAATCCCTTGGCCTGTATTCGAAGACAGGCACTTAAGGCATACGTCTCTAAGCCGTAAGTGGCTGTTGCCTATTGGATTGCTCCCCAGTTTGGGCCACAGGTTATATAACCTATCCCCTTGGAGAAGAAAGTCTTTGACAGATTCATGAATGAATTGAACGGTGCACCTGGAGTGCCCTATTGTTTCGCTTAGCCCTTTAGAACACTCTATGAGGAATATTCGTGAGTCTTCCTCGCTCAGGTCTATGGGTTCCAGATTGTTGTCCTCGGCTTGTGAAAGGATAGCATGATGGAGCTCCTGAGGTGTCAGAGGCTGCTGCGCAAATAATATCAACTGGAAGCACAGGAGAGTCTCATCTTCATCCCCACTGCCTCGAGACAAAATATCGAAGAAAAGGTCGTTTAAGCTTTGTGGTATCTCTCGAAGCTTCTGACGCAGAGCATGCATACGGCCACGCTCTCGGTTCAAAATGTTAACGACAAGAACAGTCCACATAAATACCCCAGAAGCTTTCTCTCGGACCTCGTTTTTGATGTCCTGGGCAAGATTGCTGTGTCCTATCCTTAGTTCAAAATCAATATATTCCGCGATATCGACGTCATGGTCCTCTTGTTCGTCAAGATTGATATGAAGCCCGATCCCTTCTCTTAATGTGATATGAGGATAATGTCGACTGGAAAAGCATACGAGAAGCCCAACACCATTAGCGATAGCAAGCTCTCCCAAGCGTTCAAAGAAGGCCACCATATCTCGGACCTCCTCGTCTTGGCATTCATCAAGAGCATCGATAAAACATACCACAGATGAGGTAAGACGCTCAATTGCTTCCTCGATGAGCTCTTTTAGCAACTCGTCTGTCCATTTTGGCCGGGGCTCACGACTAAAATGCTGAAGATGACTTTTAAGGATAAGCTTTAGTTCGGGGTCATGGTTGAGAAGCTGAAATAGTATCGATCGATAGAGTCCGGCCGTTGATTTTTCCAAGTCATGACCCCGTGCGTTGAAGAAGAAACTAAGAATTGCTTGATCTCGTCTCTGCTTCCAACTACTTTCAAAAATGAATTTCATCATTGTCGACTTTCCAGACCCAGGTTTCCCTTTTATCCATAAAAAGCCTCCGTGTTGTCGAATCTTCCCCGGCTCCATCCAGGCCGAATATTTGTCAGTGCCTAGCAGCCAATTGCAGGTCCTAAGATGCGGTCTTTTAATTTGTTGAAATCGATCATCCATTTGATCAAATTCTAACGAGTTATACAGCTTCTCCAATTTTACTCTCAATTCCCTGTCTGAAACTGGTTCTTTATCCAGTTCTGCGCAAAAGTCAGATTGGTTGCAATGTTTGGGGGCGAGTTACCCACCAACAGGTGTAGGGCTGCCACCCTCCAGGCCTGGTTCCGAAGTAGGCTGTATGACCAAGAGAAGTTCCTTGGCATATGCTGCTGCAGTAGTTGCCGCATACTCTTGCCACTCTTTGCTTTTGTGCGAGTCACAGTAGTCACAGATTCCTCGAATAACAAGGCACGGAAAGTTGTCGATCAAGCCCGCGGCCTCCATCTCAAAGCATAAACAACCCTTTTCTGCCCAGTTATCTCTCGACTCGGCATGTTTCATAACCCTGTTTCCGGAGGCAATTGTTCCGTAATGTATTTGTGGCGCTGTACTTGCTCGGGGAAGACGCTCGATAAGCCTTGACTGATCGCATTGGTCACAATTCTCTATATTCAGCGCATGTTCATAAGTGCTGTCAAACAGACGATCTAGACAGTTAACGGGATTTTGATATTGTTTCATTCCTGGGACGCGGCTGTATACGTCTAAAAGAATAGCTGGAATTTGCGATTGTTCATATTCGTGGCTTGCTCGTAAGTCAGAGACGGCTGTCAGCATCTCTGGGGGAGGTTTGACTGGATCACTTGTGCAGTGGAACTCGCCTCCCTGAGTTGTCTTTCCTAGATCATATTGCAGAACGTTATGGCCAACAACTACATCACCGAGACGGATATCAATGCTAGGGATGTTTGGGACGCCACCTCCGATCCCGACCATGAGTCTGAATATGATCTTCGGAAAACTCCGGGCCAGATTGTTTGCTACCACTGCCGCGTTAACAGTGCCGTAGTGACCCGAGGGTAAACAAGTGATAACAACATTGTGCTGTCCAATATTTCCAAAGCTGTAGGAGTTGGTATCACCAGGGAGCCGCGGAAGGCCGTCGTGTCTGCAGTCGAGCATCGCCGTGGCGGCTGCACGTTCCTTGGGCAGAGCGCAGATCCAAGCTACAGTGTAATCTTTATACTCGAGCTTCCTCTTGCGCAAACTAGCACTACTAGCTCCGATGGCGTTAGGAACATCATCAGTCCGGTGTCTGGAGTTATTGCACCCTTGCCCAAGCCCCGCGTCGTCGTCCCTTTCTCTGGGCCTCTTGCGGCGCCCTTCAGGAGCAATATACGTATTATTCATAGCGAAGACATATACAAGGGTCTTAGAATGGGCTCTCGGGCCGCAAACTGGACTTGGCCGTTCAAAGATGGGAGAATGATGAAATGCGACAAGAAACTGTTCTGGCCTGCAGCGATCTGCCTACGAGTGAGAGAAAGCCTTATGCGTGCTGTCAGCAACTCCTGTAGGGCACCAATCAGGCGACGCTTTGATTTCTTGCGTTTTTCACGTGGCCCCATTGGTCAAAACAAATACCCCGACCTCTCCAAGCCCAGCCTTGAACATGGTGGTTTGGTGGTGTTTCTTTAACTCGGATTAAAGGACGCGTCTAGCCCTGTATTGGCCAAGACCGTTAGAGTGTCGCAAGAAGGAACCCTTCTTATTAGTAGGTAGCCTCAACGTAATCAGATACCTCCAAAAATTCCAACGAGGCATGCTACAAAAATATGAGAGCCTCATTGAAGATTAATCTTGAAAAAGGTCAATTCTCTGCATTTTGGAATCAAGAGCTCTGCTATCCGGGTTCTATAGAAATTGCCTGTACTACTTTTCGTAGAGCTCTTCCAGAAGGGTCGTGCCGTCTAATCCCTTACATCAGAAGTGGTGTGTGATAGGCAAACTGACGGGCCGGGTTAAGCTGTTAGCCTACTGGATCTTGCTGTGTCCACCGCGGTGTCTCATCTGACTCCAGTCATTTACTGTCAATTTCTCGCTTAAAGTTGACCACTGTGGTACTGATAAGCCACTCTGCTCGCCTTTTCAAACCTTGCCATTGGTCGTAACTGCCGTCATCGTGAGATAAATCGAAGCAGGTGCTACGTTCCCACTTCATATCTGTGGATGAATAAGAAGGAGCTTCGGGACAGCTCCCTTCTATATACCTGGCTCGAGAATGTTGGGAGCAGGTGCGTCACGCGGCCATGACGGGGCACCTGCCTTGCCCACGATTACCTGTCAGGGCACGGCGGGCATGAAGTAACAGTTGCACTTGCCAGTAAGTAAGTAAGGTAGCTCTGAATAGGTGGCCCACACCTCAACCTGAGGACAGAGAGGTGAAGTGAAAATGTAAGCCTCTCTGCCCATTCATCAATTCCAGATCTACCTACCAAGAGCGCAGTCAAAAGTGCCCCAGCGTTCGTCGATTTCCATCTCCCATCCTAAGCTGCATCAACGCCCCAAATTAAAGGGCAAAGCTACCATCATTCACCTGCTTGCTGCGCGTTTCTAGCTAGTTGTGTACAACTCGCTTCTGACGCCCATCATGAAGCTCACTTCCTTGACGGCGTCTATTCTTGCGGGTGCCATCGGCTTCGTACAAGCACTCCCAGCAGCCCACGATCAACAACCCACCGAGCTCGTGGACCTTTGTTGCTGGGGACTTGGCATGACTGACGACTCTTGCACGGGCGTCAAGTGTCCGGAACCGACTCTCGCGACCTGGCACGTTGAAAAATCCAAACCGGAGCTCAAGCCAGTTGATGACCAGAAGCCGTGCTGTTGCTGCGACATCTCCATTCCCGCAATATCATGCAGGCTCCGGCCTGAGAAAGATGGATGCATGTGCGCCATGGTCGTGTGTCCCCCTGAGAGTCCTACTATTTGGCCAGGATCAACTACGTCTCCCACAGCAACCCCTACTCCTACTCCCCACTGATGAATAGGACGAGAAAATAATGGTTGCTGCTTGACAGTTCTATTTTTCCCATTACTTGCAGCGTTCTATCGGATATATCAAATTCGGGGGGGTTGGAGTTCTCTACAAAGAGTATTACACATTCGAACAACGCAGGTAGCCAAACTTCAACGTCAAGTGAAATGGCTTGCCACCAAAATTCTCAAAGGAATTCATAGGGGAAAAGATGGTGTTGGTCAAAGAGGAACGATGTATAATGTTATTTGTGAGAGAAAATGCTGATGTATACTCAGCTCAGCTCAAAGCAGGATCATGAGATCCGATGGCAGGTGACAACCATCTATGAGGCTCTTAGTAGGGAGTGATCTTACAGAAACCAACATCAAATTACTCAGTCAAAATTTATTAAGTTCAGTGATGGCATAATCGTTTCTTTGGTGAGGTTGGAAGGTACACGACAAAAGAAGTTCAAGGCGGAATCGTCGCATAATCGTTGATCTTATCTCTGCCAGATTTGTACATTCGTTTGCTATTTACAGCTTGAACAGAGCCCATGTGCCATATATACGTTTAAGGATATATGACGGGGTCTTCCACCAATCCGTGCCCGATGGGTGGATGGCTGACCCCTGCCCATGGAATAACATTTTGAAAGTGGTATGTTGTAGATCCGGGAGCTGATACCAGATCAGGAACTAGACTCACTAGACCCGGCCGGCCTCCAAATCCATCTGTAGCTGGTAGAAATTTGTAATCATCCATGACTCAGGAGTGTGCGTAATCACGCGTGAGAGCAACGATAATAGGGCTGCGTTGCCGTCGGCCAACTTCTACCTCTATGCATGAGCGGGCTAATTCCGGTTTTCCGCGATGGGGAATTACGGCTGTCGGGTACATAAGCTCGCTCTTTGGCACGGGAGTCTAAGTTGTCGAGCTATTCGCGTTAGCACCTCAGTCTGGGCTACGTGCGGCCAGAGATGGAATGCGTAGCACCTGTCTGTTACAAGCGGGCCGTTGGCGTGAAAGCTTGCGACCACCGTCAAGCCGAGTAATGACCTACGCCTTCACCATCCAGGCATGCGCTAGGAAGGCGCTGGGGATGGCTGACTTAATAGTGGGAAATAGGTGGGCTGGTGGTGGGCAGCCCCGGGAAGAGCGCCAAGTCCGAATGGGAGCAGAGGCGTCGGGCCTTCTTTTCAGTGACCTTCTCCCCCCCACGACGCGATACATCCGCCAAACACGGATCTCGTCCCTCTCACCTGTCCCCAGCGACTGCCGACCAACATGCGGCTACGTGAGTGAGACCCCCTAACGTCAACCCAGCACCAGTACAACATCAGCAGGCAGGTGATAGATGCTGCAGACGTTTTGGCGAGGCCGTACTGCCGTCTGCGACATCTCACAACGGCTGAGCGGGTCGCCGGTGTCCCGCAGTCGTGATTGACGCACCCCAAACGAGGGTCCGTTACACAGAACTGACTGATGTCGACCACCCGGTCTGTCTCTCCATGGATCACCACCACCACTCGCCTCCGGCACCTGAGTTGGCATCGGCGTCGGGGTCAGGCTCAGGCTCAGGCTCAGGTTCAGGTTCAGGGAGCCAGCAGCTCTCTTCCGTCCCGCATCATCCCACCACGCATTCGCTAGCGAGAGGTCCACCAACCCTTGATTCTCCTCTTCCACCCAAGCGTAGACGGACAGCATCTCAAACGTCTACTCGCTGCTGCCGTACTTGCAGGCTACGCAAGGTAAGACCTTCTTATGAATTCTTTTGTTTGTCTTCCTGACAACACATTTGAGATTTCCTACCCCGTCATACCGCGTGAGAGACATCGAAGCTCGTCCCACTAGAGATGCCACAACGAGACTATTACTTGCCCTTACATCTCACACATCTGTGTCCCCTATCTGATACGAATACATCGCTTACTCAACATGCCCATAGGTGAAATGCACCGGCAACCCAGGCACCGGAGAGCCGTGTAGCAATTGCGGGAGACTTGAATTGGCATGCCCTTTCGCTGAGAAGCAGCAAGAAACCATCCAGATTCCAACAGGTAGGTGGATGAAAAGCCAGACCCATGCTCAGCGTTGGAGTGAATACAAGCGCTATTCTTCATCTCTCCCAAGGCGACCACACCTTGTATTTAGGTGAATGTCGATGCTAATATTGACTGACTTAGTGGACAAGATTTCGAGGATAAAGCCTTCACACAGCCATACTGAAGCGGGCACTCTTCGCAAGAGGGCTCAGCGGGCCTGCAACCAATGCCATTCACAAAAGACCAAGTGCTCTGGCGATCTGCCTAGGTGTAAGCGATGTGAAGCTGGCGATCTCAAGTGCGAATACACTCCCGCCAAGCGGCGATTTGCAAATGTCCGCCTTCAGTCAGAATCGAAGAGCGAGGAGCCGCCAGCGCCAACGCCAACGCCAACACCAACGACCGTTGCAGCAAGTCCCTCCAGCCCTTCCCTGGCTCCCAAGAAGGAAAGGAGTCCCTTTTTGAGCCCACGAGGGAAGGACGGCAAGCCTAGCGAATACTTTCCGTTGATGATCGACACTTCGCATCTAAGCTCCCAGTATGATGGGTCCTTTGCCTTGCTCCCCACTGTCTTCTCTGCTAACCACTCTCTCGCAGGGAGTTACTCACACGCAAGCATATCATTCTCCGCCATCTGGATGCATACTTCGAGCATATCTACTGGCTGCCATGCATGGGCTACTTTCACCCCGAAACCGCCCGCCGGCAAGTTCACGTAAGTTAATTCCCGATAGTGGGCTTAAACCTCACCGAGTTCGATATCTAACCATGACAAAGGAGGGCACATTTGACGCACCCACCGCAGCAGCTGTTTGTGCCATTTCAAGCTTCTTCGTCAACCCCGGCAACGGGGCCAAAGAGTTCAGCCTGAAGTGCCTGGATGAGGTAGAATTCTTCTTCTTCCGGAACATTCATAAATTTTCCGAGGCTGTACTCATCCCGTACTCTCTCATTATTTCATTTAATTTTCTCAACGGCTCGTTTGCCAAAGTCTGGCAAACACTTGGTATTGCCATTCGTCTGGTCACCGGCATGCAGCTGAATTGGGACTACGCCATGCAGCATCGGTCCTTCCAAGACCAAGAGCGATTGCGGCGGGTCGCCTGGCAGTTTTTTGTCTTGGATCGCTTGCTGGCTGGCGGCTACGAGGAGTATATTTCATGCCGGGCTGAGATAATGAAGATCCGCCTTCCATGCCAGGAGGAGGCATTCTGGGAGAACAAGCCCATAACCGCCGAGAGACTCCATGAGAGACCGGCAAGTTCTAAAGGGATCGGCCTCCATGGACTGAATGTCCGCCTTGCCGATATCAACCATAGGATTCAATCGTAAGCCTTTGGCGCTTTGCCACTCCCCTTCTCGCTAAGCCGGGGTGATATCATGCTAACTTTACTAGGTGGTCAAAAAGGCTCACGCAGCGAGTTTCTCTCGAGCCTTCCAAGGTAATGGAGGATATCAACAACTTCCAAAATGAGCTTACATGGTTCCACGCCTCTATCCCCAACGAAATCAGATTAAGTGACCAGAGCCTCTCAAAGTTCATGGCATCTTCTGAGCGAGTCGGTTACGTTTATTTCCATACTCATTTATCAGTTGGCCACATTGATTTGTATCGTTTTGCCCTGCCAGGCATTCTAGATTCAACGAAGAACGATATCATCCGCCGTCTACCTCCAGATTTCGTTCAGAGGGCCAGAAAACAAGTCGTTGCTCACGCTCTGTGCACTGGTCGTTTCTGTGTCGCTATACAGGACGAAATGGACCGACTCGCAAAGTCTGGCATCACTGGTTTCGCCGGTGATGCTACCATTGCTCACATGTCTACACAATCCCTTCGTGTCTTCCTAGTCGCCATACAACACGAAATCTATGACGATTTAACAGAAGGCACAACAGCGCCATTGTGGCGCTTTCAACAGCCAGATGAGACGTATATTCGATCACTCATCACCAATGGCCTCTTCCGTGTGTCTGAACCATGGTGCCCAGTTCTGGTAGCATGCCAACAGTCTGTGCGTATTAAATACAATTTGTCTTCTCTTCGTATATCATCTAACTAGTGTACAGCACGCCAGTAACAAAGCCATGTTCGAAGAGTTCGACAGAACCAGGAGATTTACTGATGCAAAAGATGCGTACCGCAATAAGCTCAAAGCTACCGACGGCTCAGCTCGCCTCCCAGGGCCGCATTACATTCTCGAGAATGCTAATCACGGTGTCGCCGAGCAAGATCAACGCGCCAGGGCATCTGAAGCAGCAGTCGCCAAACGCTGGTTTAACGAGCCAAAACAACAGACAGAGCCAATGGCATATCCACCAGCCGATCTTGATTTTGACATGGAATACGGGCCCCCAGGTATCCCCATGATGCTTGCTGTTGCCAGGAATCCGGACACGGGGCGAAGCGACGACAATATCAACTTCCTGTATGATGGTGACCGGGAGGCCACAGCCCTCCTGCAAGACAAGGTCTGGCTCAATGGTGGGATCATCGCACCTGACAGCGGCCAAATGGCTTATGTTGCAACTCACGCCGGAGTCCCTTTCATGCAGATAGGCTCAACAGATCCAAACATGATGTTTCCGCCACCACAGCCTCCCCCTCCCCCGCCATCAACCTTGCCTCATTCAACTACGGCACCATTCGTTCCTAGCCAGGCTGGTATATATATGGACACCTGGGCCGCGCCGTCATATGAAAACCTTCACTCCGGTCCGTACATGCGACAACCGAACTACAACTAACGAAATTCAAACGGAGGCAGCGATTTATTATACCTTTTTTAATTTACTCAACATCTTTCAAAACCAATGTACTGACCTCGCAACAGAGGCCCGTAGATTTGACATTTGATTGCAAAATCGCACCAATTATGATATCTTGTATCGATTTGGATAATTGATGTCCCTTTTGTTCATCATGAGAATACTAAAAATAGGAAATATATATTTCTGAGTACATCCATGACTTGAAGTCGT